ACACCATTTTGTATACATCTGGCCCTTCATTGGACACTTTGTTAACAAACCTCCAAACTAGCTTCAATGCCAACAAGGGCATGTTTAGGAGCATGAGTGAAGGAGGCTTTGTTGCGAAATAGGAAGCCGATTCTAGATTTAACTTTGGATTGGAGATACTTAATGTGAGTCTGGAAGGAGAGTTTACGGCCTAACCAGACATCTAGGTATTTGTAGTTGTCCACATATTCTGAGTCAGACCCGCCGAGAGTAGTGATTCTAGTCGGGCGGGCGGGTGCAAGCATGTTCGATTGAAGAGCATGCATTTAGTTTTACTAGCGTTTATGAGCAGTTGGAGGCCACGGAAGTTTGAGGCCAACACCTTCGGCGATGTCATTTACAAAATAGCTTCCAACACACTACTCAGCAAATTGGATGTAGTCTATCACAGTGCCATCCGTTTTGTCACCAAAGCCCCATTGTGACCTGTACGCTCTTGTTGGCTGGCCCTCACTACATATTCGTCGCCAAACCCACTGGCTCCAGGTCATCTATAAATCACTTCTAGGCCAATCCCCGCCTTATCTTAGATCATTGGTCACCATAGCAACACCCACCCGTAGTATGCGTTCCAGCAGGTATATCTCACTGGTCATCCCCAAAGCCAACACCTCCTTTGGCCGCCATTCCTTCTAGTTCTCTGCTGCAAATGACTGGAACGAACTGCAAAAGCTGGAGACACACATCTCCCTCACTAACTTTAAGCATCAGTTGTCAGAGCAGCTTACCGATCACTGCACCTGTACACAGCCCATCTGTAATTAGCCCACCCAACTACCTCATCCCCATATTGTTATTTACATTGTTATTTATTTTGCTCATTTGCACCCCAGTAACTCTATTTGCACATCATCTTCTGCACATCTATCACTCCAGTGTTAATACTAAATTGTAATTATTTTGCAGTATGGCCTATTTATTGCCTTACCTCCATAATTTACTACATTTGCACACACGGTTTATAGATTTTCTATTGTGTTATTGACTGTACGTTTTGTTTTTGTTTATTCCATATGTAACTCTGTGTTGTTGTTGTTTTTATCGCACTGCTTTGCTTTATCTTGGCCAGGTCGCAGTTGTAAATGAGAACTTGTTCTCAACTGGCTTACCTGGTTAAATAAAGGTGAAATAAAAATAAAAAAATAAATAAAATTTTTTGCCTCGACACAATCCTGTCTCGGAGCTCTACGGACAATTCCTTCGACCTCATGGCTTGGTTTTTGCTCTGACATGCACTGTCAACTGTGTGACCTTATATAGACAGGTGTGTGCCTTTCCAAATCATGTCCAATCAACTGAATTTACCACAGGTGGACTCCAATCAAGTTGTAGAAACATCTCAAGGCTGATCAATGGAAACGGGATGCATCTGAATACTTATGTAATTAAGGTATTCAAGTTTTTTTTAAAGTTTTTTTAATACATTTGGAAACATTTCAAAAAACCTGTTTTCACTTTGTCATTATGGGGTATTGTGTGTAGATTGCTGAGAAAAAAAAAGAAATATATATATTTTTTTGAAAAAAATTGTCCTCCCTCATCTTAAACGTCACCGACTGCCACTGAAATCTACTGTATTTGAACGGCTGAAATCTACTGTATGGCGCCAATGCATTGGCGAACATTCGGTAACACTTTATTTGAACTGTAAGATAGGCCCTTCATCATAACAGTGTACATACAGTAGTTCTGACCACCAGCACATTATATTTCCTCAATGAAACCATGCAGCTTCCTAGAGGCCCATTCTAACCTCACGCTCATTAGTAGGGAATTTCTGATTACATATAATCCCATAGTAATCAGAAGCAGCTTTGAAATAGTAAGGTCATACTGGCACCATAATCATAACTTTGAAAGCCAATCCAAATCTCCCCTTGCAGGAATGTCTCACTTACAACCCACAGTTATTACTATCCCTTTATCGATGGATAATAACGATAATCTCATATCTGATCTTTAACCTTGAAGATTTACAGTAGGTGAATCGTAGAAATTTGGGTGGGGCTCATTTCGAGGCTCAGAAGGGAGGTGAACCAGAAGTGGATTCTGTTGGGCGTGAATCAAATGTGACTGCCGCTTAGCGCAAGAATGGAACTTAAAGTGATTATGCTTCAAATTTACGTCAGTGCCTTTCGTCAGGGATTATCTTGATTAATTATTTTCCCCTCACGTGAGTCTACACTCTTAAAAAAAAAAGGTGCTATCTAGAACCTAAAAGGGTTCTTCGGCTGTCCCCTCTTTTGGGTTCCATGTAGAACCCTTTCCACAGAGAGTTCTACACGGAACCCAAAAGGGTTCTACCTGGAACCAAAAAGGGTTCTCCTATGGGGACAGCTGAAGAACCCTTTTGGAACCCTTTTTTCTAGAGTGTAATATCTATAAACAACCATTACCCGCAAGTAACTTTCAGAAGCCTCTTATCGTCCTCATTTTCCAGAGGAGCACAGGGTCAGCCTCAGTACACTGCAGCACCCTTACAGCTACTGTCGTTTGATGTTAAATTCCTTGCTCAAAGGCACAAGTGTAGGAGATCTAAAACCAGCTGCCCTCCAGTTGCAAGTTCAGTCCCCTATTGTTGCAGTGCCTTGACTGGAATTAAAACCGGCAACACTCTGGCTATACAGGTCCACCTCTCTAACCTCTAAGCAACCTACCTATTATACAACAAATACAATACATCGCTAGGTATTGCGAGACAACATTGAACACAATACAGTTTTTATTTGTTGCACACTATGTCTAATCTAATTTACAGTATGAGAAGCACCAGAGATACACGGGAACTTCGTTGTCACGTTTTTTATTTCTTCCAGCAGCCCCCTCTCCTCACAGCCCCAGACAGAAGCGATAGGCTTGAAGCGCCCAGCCAGGACCCAGAGGCCCAGATAATAGCTACAGTCCAGTAACAGAAAACCCTTGACAGAGTAAACACACGGTGGCTATCCAAACTATCCAAACCGGCACTCCATTTGGGCCGGAGCCGCCATTGACTGCTGTAATCTGTTGTGTAAATCTGCAGCTTGGGCCTGTCTGGTTGCTGTCTGGGTTCTGTGCTCCCGGACAAAAGCCCCGGGACACCTTGCCTACTGACAAAGGGCTGCATGCCGCCGGGGCCTAATCAGAGTGGACAAGGCTTGCTGATGGGGCCTTTTTGAGCAATTGAACTTGGTCAATGCTTCTTAGGGGGACCTGATGGAACAGAGGGGCAGGCAGTTTGACTTCAACAACAGGGGCCCCGCTGAAAACCCTCCCTGTTAAAGGAGTGGTGCCGTGACCTGTAATGACCTTTGTAAAGGACGTATACACAGACACATACAGACACGTTTGGCAGTGTCACTGTTTATTGGCCTTTCAGACTACATATGTACATACACTGAGTATACAAAACATTAGGAGCACCTGCTCTTTCCATGACCTAGACTGACCAGGTGAATCCAGGTGAAAGCTATGATCCCTTATTGATGTCACTTATTAAGTCCACTTCAATCAGTGTAGATGAATGGGAGGAGACAGGTTAAAGAAGGATTGTTAAGCCTTGAGACAATTGAGACATGGATTGTGTATGTGTGCCATTCAGAGGGTGAATGGGCCAGACAAAAGATTTAAGTGCCTTTGAACCGGGTCTGGTAGTAGGTGCCAGGCGCAACAGTTTGTTTCAAGAACTGCAACACTGTTGGGTTTTTCACACTCAACAGTTTCCCGTGTGTATCAAGAATGGTCCACCACCCAAAGGACATCCAGCCAACTTCACACAACTGTGGGAAGCATTGGAGTCAACATGGGCCAACATCCCTGTGGAACACTTTCGACACCTTGTAGAGTCCATGCCCCAACAAATTGAGGCTGTTCGGAGGGCAAAAGGGGGGGGTGCAACTCAATATTAGGAAGTTGTTCTTAATGTTTTGTACACTCAGTGTATAGATCACGTTGTGTTTTTGGGGGGGAATCTACGGAATTTGATGTTGGTCTTTCGAGGGAACATGAATAGGTGCATCTGGGGAAATGTAGCCATTGGTGTTGTCCTCGAATTCTGGCAAGTCATGAGAGAACACTCAATGACTTCTGAGTCCGAACACAAAAAGGTGAGGACACAATGTTCTCCAGTGAAACACAGAACAAGGTGGCGGAAGTTGTAAAGTTCTGAAGTTCTGAGAGCCCCTGGGAATGGGTGTGGGAAAACCTGTGTGGGCCGCTCTGGAATCTCCTCAGAGAGACGGACTACAAGCGCTGCACTTTCCATGTGGGAAAGGTTCCGTTCCTTTGTCATCAGAAATGTCATTGTTGTACAGTCGTTGTTGTACAGAAGGTTGCTGTCTGTGTTGTTTACCCCGACTGTACCTTCAACTTTGGGGAGAAAGAGCGAGAGAGCGAGAGAGAGAGAGCGAGAGAGCGAGAGAGAGAGCGAGAGAGAGAGAGAGAGAGGGGGGGGGGGGGGGGGGCGTGCACTTAGAAGAGAGTCACAGAAAATAGTTGCATGTCATGTAACTTACCTGAAGTATCAATGCCCCCCTTCTTCAAAAAGCTATTATGTATGTACTCTTTTCATTTGAGTCCAAGTTACAAGTCTATGATTTGACGTAGCCTAACAATAATACAAAGACACTGGTAACTAAAGTTTCCCATTTTTATCTGTAAATTAAATGTAGAGAAATGGTATGTTGCCAAATGGCAAGGCAACACCCTGCAGGGTTACGTTTGTTCTGAGTGGTGTTCCGTAGTGTTCTCCTCGGTTTCCATAGCGACCACAGTTCCATTAAGACACGGATCGAATGATTTGACGTTCCCGCTTAGAAAACCGGTTAGCAAAGTGTTGAAAACACAAACAGACACAGGTAAATTACCTCTTACTTAAAACAGCAACATTTCCTGAGAAGAAAATGTAAAAAGTGGAATGTTGTCTTGGTTATATCTCTTTTCCGTGTTTTCGTGCAGTGTTTGTTTCATGACGCTGCTAGACCATGGATGTCAGTCAAGAAGACCTGAGCAAACTGAGCATAATCAACTCCTCTGATGAGATTGAATTAGATCATTCTTATCAGGAAGACTTTTACTCATCTGCTGATGAAGATGATGTTGATGAAGATGATGTGAGTTGATTTATTATTAGCCAACTGAAAGTGAGAGTTTGTGTACTTAGAAGTGTGTAGGCCTAATAATCTCCATAATCTAACGTTAGCCTACTGTTTGCACAATGTTTTTATACTTCTTGCCAATGAATGTCTACTGGTTGCAAATGCATGCAAACCTAAAGTTGCACCTTTCAATACCCCCAGGCTTCAGAAAAAATCCCAGAATCAATGCTCAAATATTTTGAAGCCTCCAAGAACAGAGCAAATCAGTTTGAAAAGCTCATCCTTGAGGATGTTCAAGATGATGGTAGGAACGAGGACCTCTGGATAATGCATAGGCTACAGACAGAAATATAGAAAATGCATGGATCATTTATTCATCAGTCAGGCTAGCTGCTGGCTACATGATGCCATACTATTGTTGTGTCTTTGTACATTGTCTGTTTTCAGATTCCGGAGCAGCTGAGGTGTATTCCGTCATTTCAAGTCGTTCTGAAGACCTTTTAATGGAACTGGCCTCTGACTTAGGCCTACACGAGGACCCAGTGACGTTAAAAGAACGAGTGAGTGTAGTTTAATAAAGGCTTGTGTGCACTAAAGTCCTAGTGTTATGTAATTTGTGCTGGGACGTAGACTAAATATGTTTGATTGATTTAGGTCATGTCCGAGATGGAGGATGAGGAGTTGAACACTATCCCCAACGAGGCCTGTCCTCACACTGTATCTGACGGTGACATTACAGACAGCGTGCCACACAACAGTGAGGGTATGTGTAGAGACTTCTGTGTGCGTGTGTGATACATATGCCCACTAGATGTCACCCTTGCCTCATTGAGTCCAGCCCTATAAAGAAAATAAAAAATGTGATATTCTTCAAACTAATGGAGCTGTGACTTGTCTTTCTATTTGACACAGATGATATTGAATGTGATGCATATTTGTGGTCTGAAAAGCAACTCAGTCTGGAACTGAAAACGTTGGAGCGTAAGTTGAAAGAGGAGGATGAGAGGAGAATTGTGGAGCGAAAGAAGGAGCAGAATGAGAAGAGAGAAAAGGAGGAGTGGAGGAAACACCGACAGAGAGACTTCGAGGAGGAGCTGAGGCGAATAGAAGAGGGCAATGTGGTGAGATAGTTCACATCATCCCTTTCTCCCATTTCCCGTTTCTATGTTTATCAGTAACTAAGACTGACTAACTGAAAAAGTCATTGTCTGTCTGTAGCATCAGCCTACAGGCATGGAGGAGATAAGAGAAAGAGAGGCAGAAGAGAAGCTTCAACAAGAGTTGCTCAAACAGCAGGTGGGCCAGATTCAATAAAACATGTTTTGTTGATGTGCAACCACTGAAACACTGGCTATGGAGAGGGCTAGGTCAGAAGTGTTTTCAGAAGGGGCTCATCTTTTTCTTTTGGTTTAACTTCTCCCCTCCATTCTCCCACACTAACCAGGAGCTGATCAGCAGCCTCCAGAGACAGATAGAGGAGGAGAGGAGGGCCTTTGAGAAGGCGCAGGAGGAGGAGAAGAGGAAGACCCACCAGTCTCGATGCAGGGCGGCCATCACTATCCAGGCTGCCATCAGAGGCGTTCTGGCACGCCGGTGGACCAGGGCTGAGCTCCACCGCAGAAGAGAGGAACAAAGGAGGTGTGAGGAGGAGAGGAGGAGGAGGAGGAAGGAGAGGGAGGAAAGGTGGAGGAGGGAACAGGAGGAGCAGCGGCTGAAGCAGGAGAAGGAAAAAAGGAGGAGAGAGTTGGAGGAGGAGGAGCTGAAGAGGAGGAGGTTAGAGTATGAGAGAGCCAAAGAAGAGGAGCGAGTCCGTATAGAGAGAGAGAGACAGGAGGAGGAGGAGAGGAGAAAAGGGGAGGAGAAGAGAAAGATGCACGAAGAAGAGAAGAGAAAGAAGCATGAAGAAGAGGAGAAGATAAAGAAAGAAGAGGAGAAGAGAAGGAAGGAGGAGAGGAGAAAGCATGAGGAGCAGATTAGGGAGGAGAGAGACAAGCAAGAAGGGAAGAAGGAGAGGAGAAAAAGACAGGAGGATGAGGAGAATGAAAGGAAAAGGAAGGAGGAGGAAGAGATTAGGATTGAATCAGACGAGAGGAAACCAAAGAGCCTGCAAAAGCTGGAGACAGGAATAGTGAAGGAGGAAAAAGCCAGAGAGGAGAAATCAGCCACCACTGAATGTTCCCCAACTGCCAGCTCTTCCCCCATTGACCCCAGTGCCTCAGCCCCTGAGTCTGCCTTTGAGCTGATGAGTGTATCTCTACCAGAGCAGACAGAGCAGAGGAGACTGGCCTGGATGAGGGACTGCACTTCCTGGTCCAAACTCTCTCTGCAGAACAAGAGGAAGCAGCAGCAGGGGGTCAGGACCCAGGGGAGGAGGGGGGCGAGGAGGGCTGCTGAGGGGAGCGGTTTACCCCCCCTCTGCCCAGACACACTCCTTCAGTCTGGGGCCTGGAACTCTCTTCAGGAGGTAACCTGCATGATACGATCTACAACGTGAAACTCTTTATTTCAGGGGTTGGTAACAGGCCCGTGAGTGTTTTTTTGATTTTTTGTTGAAGTTTGGGATCAAAAAAGACCATAAAATCACCTAGAATTAAGCAAAAAATGTGTTTAGGTTAGGAAATCTGTTCCCAAGTATTCCCAGGAATAAAAAAATAGACGTGATCATGTCTTAATGTAATCAAGGTCTGAATTTATTTGAATCTAGTTGCTTACCCCTGCTTTATTTCATAAAGGTTCTTCCCGGAAAAAAAAGTGATGTTTTAGGTGCGCTTGATTTAGCTTGGAGTTGTCACCTTTTTTTTTACCCTTACATTGTACAAGGAAAACTGAAAGTATTATACTGGATTACAAGTAGGATATTTGAAAGTATTGGACCTAGATGTATTTGACCCATGTCTGCAAAACAGTCAATCAGACACATACAAATAACCAACAAACCAACCATAACAAAACCAAAAGCAAAGTTTCACTGACTGGGCTCTACCTTCCAATGCAGGTGACCACAGTTGTTCTGGAGGATATCCCTGGCTGCAGCCTCACTACGTTGTCCCAATGCCCCAGACTGCAGACCCTCACCATGAGACGCTGTGGCCTTACATCCCTGGAGGGCCTCAGTAAATGCACAGAGCTCCGCTACATCGATGTACAGGTAAATACACCACCATTTACATGCGGGATAAGCTGTACAGATGAAAATTGGCTATCTAGCTAAATCTGGTGCAATGGCATGTTGTACATGGTCCCTGACAAATGAACAAATAGTACCATGGTAATGACACTGAAAGCCAGAAATTGTTTACACTGATACATTACTATATAGTACAACCATACACTGCATACTTGTGGGTATATATATATATATATATATATATACACACACACACACAGTGGGGAGAACAAGTATTTGATACACTGCCGATTTTGCAGGTTTTCCTACTTACAAAGCATGTAGAGGTCTGTAATTTTTATCATAGGTATACTTCAACTGTGAGAGACGGAATCTAAAACAAAAATCCAGAAAATCACATTGTATGATTTTTAAGTAATTAATTTGCATTTTATTGCATGACATAAGTATTTGATCACCTACCAACCAGTAAGAATTCCGGCTCTCACAGACCTGTTAGTTTTTCTTTAAGAAGCACTCCTGTTCTCCACTCATTACCTGTATTAACTGCACCTGTTTGAACTCGTTACCTGTATAAAAGACACCTGTCCACACACTCAATCAAACAGACTCCAACCTCTCCACAATGGCCAAGACCAGAGAGCTGTGTAAGGACATCAGGGATAAAATTGTAGACCAGCACAAGGCTGGGATGGGCTACAGGACAATAGGCAAGCAGCTTGGTGAGAAGGCAACAACTGTTGGCGCAATTATTAGAAAATGGAAGAAGTTCAAGATGACGGTCAATCACCCTCGGTCAGGGGCTCTATGCAAGATCTCACCTCGTGGGGCATCAATGATCATGAGGAAGGTGAGGGATCAGCCCAGAACTACACGGCAGGACCTGGTCAATGACCTGAAGAGAGCTGGGACCACAGTCTCAAAGAAAACCATTAGTAACACACTACGCCGTCATGGATTAAAATGCTGCAGCGCACGCAAGGTCCCGCTGCTCAAGCCAGCGCATGTCCAGGCCCGTCTGAAGTTTGCCAATGACCATCTGGATGATCCAGAGGAGGAATGGGAGAAGGTAATGTGGTCTGATGAGACAAAAATAGAGCTTTTTGGTCTAAACTCCACTCGCCGTGTTTGGAGGAAGAAGAAGGATGAGTACAACCCCAAGAACACCATCCCAACCGTGAAGCATGGAGGTGGAAACATCATTCTTTGGGGATGCTTTTCTGCAAAGGGGACAGGACGACTGCACCGTATTGAGGGGAGGATGGATGGGGCCATGTATCGCGAGATCTTGGCCAACAACCTCCTTCCCTCAGTAAGAGCATTGAAGATGGGTCGTGGCTGGGTCTTCCAGCATGACAATGACCCGAAACACACAGCCAGGGCAACTAAGGAGTGGCTCTGTAAGAAGCATCTCAAGGTCCTGGAGTGGCCTAGCCAGTCTCCAGACCTGAACCCAATAGAACATCTTTGGAGGGAGCTGAAAGTCCGTATTGCCCAGCGACAGCCCCGAAACGTGAAGGATCTGGAGAAGGTCTGTATGGAGGAGTGGGCCAAAATCCCTGCTACAGTGTGTGCAAACCTGGTCAAGACCTACAGGAAACGTATGATCTCTGTAATTGCAAACAAAGATTTCTGTACCAAATATTAAGTTCTGCTTTTCTGATGTATCAAATACTTATGTCATGCAATAAAATGCAAATTAATTACTTAAAAATCATACAATCTGATTTTCTGGATTTTTGTTTTAGATTCCGTCTCTCACAGTTGAAGTATACCTATGATAAAAATTACAGACCTCTACATGCTTTGTAAGTAGGAAAACCTGCAAAATCGGCAGTGTATCAAATACTTGTTCTACCCACTGTATATACAGTTGAAGTTGGAAGTTTACATACACTTAGGTTGGAGTCATTAAAACTCGTTTTTCAACCACTCCACAAATTTCTTTTTAACAAACTAGAGTTTTGGCAAGTTGGTTAGGACATCTACTTTGTGCATGACACAAGTAATTTTTCCAACAATTGTTTACAGACAGATTATTTCACTTATAGTTTACTGTATCACATTTCCAGTGGGTCAAAAGTTTACATACACTAAGTTGACTGTGCCTTTAAACAACTTTTAATTCAAGAAAATTATGTCATTGCTTTAGAAGCTTCTGATAGGCTAATTTATATAATTTGAGTCAATTGGAGGTGTACCTGTGGATGTATTTCAAGGCTACCTTCAAACTCAGTGCCTCTTTGATTGACATCTCTTTGCGTGACATCAGGACAGCAGAGTCACTCACCACCTTCCGGAGACACTTGAAACCCCACCTCTTTAAGGAATACCTGGGATAGGATAAAGCAGGGTTCTTCAATTCCGGTCCTGCAGGGCCGAAACACTTCTGTTTTTTATTTCTACCTGGTAGTTCATTGCACTCACCTGAAGTTTGGGATCAAAAAAGACCATAAAATCACCTAGAATTTGCCCCTGATTAGAAGGAGAGGATGAAAAACAGAGGTGTTTCGGCCCTCCAGGACCGGAATTGAAGAACCCTGGGATAAAGTAATCCTTCTAGCCCCCCTTACCCCACCCCCCCAAAAAAAAAAAATATATATATATATATTGTAAAGTGGTTGTCCCACTGGCTATCATAAGGTGAATGCACCAATTTGTAAGTCGCTCTGGATAAGAGCGTCTGCTAAATGACGAAAATGTAAATGCAATGGAAAATCAAAAGAAATCAGCCAAGACCTCAGAAAAGATTTTGTAGACCTCCACAATTCTGGTTCATCCTTGGGAGCAATTTCCAAATGCCTGAAGGTACCACGTTCATCTGTACAAACAATAGTACGCAAGTATAAACACCATGGGACCACGCAGCCGTCATACTGCTCAGGAAGGAGACGCGTTCTGTCTCCTAGAGATGAACATACTTTGGTGCGAAAAGTGCAAATCAATCCCAGAACAACAGCAAAGGACCTTGTGAAGATGCTGGAGGAAACGGGTACAAAAGTATCTATATCCACAGTAAAACGAGTCCTATATCGACATAACCTGAAAGGGGGCCCAGCAAGGAAGAAGCCACTGCTCCAAAACCGCCATAAAAAAGCCAGACTACGGTTTGCAACTGCACATGGGGACAAAGATCATACTTTTTGGAGAAATGTCCTTTGGTCTGATGAAACAAAAATAGAACTGTTTGGCCATAATGACCATCGTTATGTTTGGATGAAAAAGGGGGTGGCTTGCAAGCCGAAGAACACCATCCCAACCGTGAAGCACGGGGTGGCAGCATCATGCCGTGGGGGTGCTTTGCTGCAGGAGGGACTGGTGCACTTCACAAAATAGTTGGCATCATGAGGAAGGAAAATTATGTGGACATATTGAAGGAACATCTCAAGACATCAGTCAGGAAGTTAAAGCTTGGTCGCAAATGGGTCTTCCAAATGGACAATGACCCCAAGCATACTTCCAAAGTTGTGGCAAAATGGCTTAAGGACAACAAAGTCAAGGTATTGGAATGGCCATCACAAAGCCCTGACCTCAATCCTATAGAAAATGTGTGGGCAGAACTGAAAAAGCGTGTGCGAGCAAGGAGGCCTACAAACCTGACTCAGTTACACCAGCTCTGTCAGGAGGAATGGGCCAAAATTCACCCAATTTATTGTGGGAAGCTTGTGGAAGACTACCCGAAACAACATTTGACACAAGTTAAACAATTTAAAGGCAATGCTACCAAATACTAATTGAGTGTATGTCAACTTCTGACCCACTGGGAATGTGATGAAATAAATTAAAGCTGAAATAAATAATTCTCTCTACTATTATTCTGACATTTCACATTGTTAAAATAATAAAGTGGTGATCCTAACTGACCTAAGACAGGGAATATTTACTAGGATTAAATGTCAGGAATTGTGAAAAACTGAGTTTAAATGTATTTGGCTAAGGTGTATGTAAACTTCCGACTTCAATACAGTGAGGGAATTAAGTATTTGATCCCCTGCTGATTTTGTATGTTTGCCCACTGACAAAGACATGATCAGTCTATAATTTTAATGGTAGGTTTATTTGAACAGTGAGAGACAGAATAACAACAAAAACATCCAGAAAAACGCATGTCAAAAAATGTTATAAATTAAATTAGCATTTTAATGAGGGAAATAAGTATTTGACCCCTCTGCAAAACATGATTTAGTACTTGGTGGCAAAACCCTTGTTGGCAATCACAGAGGTCAGACTTTCTTGTAGTTGGCCACCAGGTTTACACACATCTCAGGAGGGATTTTGTCCCACTCCTCTTTGCAGATCTTCTCCAAGTCATTAAGGTTTCGAGGCTGACGTTTGGCAACTCGAACTTTCAGCTCCCTCCACAGATTTTCTATGGGATTAAGGTCTGGAGACTGGCTAGGCCACTCCAGGACCTTAATGTGCTTCTTCTTGAGTCACTCCTTTGTTGCCTTGGCCGTGTGTTTTGGGTCATTGTCATGCTGGAATACCCATCCACGACCCATTTTCAATGCCCTGGCTGAGGGAAGGAGGTTCTCACCCAAGATTTGACGGTACATGGCCCCGTCCATCGTCCCTTTGATGCGGTGAAGTTGTCCTGTCCCGTTAGCAGAAAAACACCCCCAAAGCATAATGTTTCCACCTCCATGTTTGACATTGGGGATGGTGTTCTTGGGGTCATAGGCAGCATTCCTCCTCCTCCAAACACGGCGAGTTGAGTTGATGCCAAAGAGCTCAATTTTGGTCTCATCTGACCACAACACTTTCACCCAGTTCTCCTCTGAATCATTCAGATGTTCATTGGCAAACTTCAGACGGGCATGTATATGTGCTTTCTTGAGCAGGGGGACCTTGCGGGCGCTGCAGGATTTCAGTCCTTCATGGCGTAGTGTGTTACCAATTGTTTTCTTGGTGACTATGGTCCCAGCTGCCTTGAGATCATTGACAAGATCCTCCTGTGTAGTTCTGGGCTGATTCCTCACCGTTCTCATGATCATTGCAACTCCACGAGGTGAGATATTGCATGGAGCCCCAGGCCAAGGGAGATTGACAGTTCCTTTGTTTCTTCCATTTGCGAATAATCGCACCAACTGTTGTCACCTTCTCACCAAGCTGCTTGGCGATGGTCTTGTAGCCCATTCCAGCCTTGTGTAGGTCTACAATCTTGTCCCTGACATCCTTGGAGAGCTATTTGGTCTTGGCCATGGTGGAGAGTTTGGAATCTGATTGATTGATTGCTTCTGTGGACAGGTGTCTTTTATACAGGTAACAAGCTGAGATTAGGAGCACTCCCTTTAAGAGTGTGCTCATAATCTCAGCTCGTTACCTGTATAAAAGACACCTGGGAGCCAGAAATCTTTCTGATTGAGAGGGGGTCAAATACTTATTTCCCTCATTAAAATGCAAATCAATTTATAACATTTTTGACATGCGTTTTTCATGGATTTTTTTGTTGTTATTCTGTCTCTCACTGTTCAAATAAACCTACCATTAAAATTATAGACTGATCATTTCTTTGTCAGTGAGCAAACGTACAAAATCAGCAGGGGATCAAATACTTTTTTCCCTCACTGTATATATATATATACACACTACCATTCAAAAGTTTGTGGTCACTTGGAAATGTCCTTGTTTTCAAAAGAAAAGCAATTTTTTTGGTCCATTAAAATAACATCAAATTGATCAGAAATACCGTGTAGACATTGTTAATGTTGTAAATGGCTATTGTAGCTGGAAACGGCTGATTTTTAATGGGAATATCTACATAGGCGTACAGAGGCCCATTATCAGCAACCATCAGTCCTGTGTTCCAATGGCACGTTGTGTTTGCTAATCCAAGTTTATCATTTTAAAAGGCTAATTGATCATTAGAAAACCCTTTTGCAATTATGTTAGCACAGCTGAAAACTGTTGTGCTGATTTAAAGAAGCAATAAAACTGGTCTTCTTGAGAGTAGTTGAGTATCTGGAGCATCAGCAATTGTGGGTTCGATTACAGGCTCAAAATGGCCAGAAACAAAGAACCTTCTTCTGAAACTCGTCAGTCTAATCTTGTTCTGAGAAATTAAGGCCATTCTATGCGAGAAATTGCCAAGAAACTGAAGATCTCGTACAATGCTGTGTACTACCCCCTTCACAGAACAGCGCAAACTGGCTCTAACCAGAATAGAAAGAGGAGTGGGAGGCCCCAGTGCACAACTGAGCAAGAGGACAAATACATTAGTGTCTAGTTTGAGAAACAGGCGCCTCACAGGTCCTCAACTGGCAGCTTCATTAAATAGTACCCGCAAAACAACAGTCTCAACGTCAACAGTGAAGAGGCTACTCCAGGATGCTGACCTTCTAGGCAGAGTTGCAAAGAAAAAGCCATATCTCAGACTGCCCATCTTAATCTTTTCTTTATATTGGCCAGTCTGAGATATGGCTTTTTCTTTATTATTATTTATTTTAGACAGGTCTAAAGAAACATGATATGAAGAAAATTTAGTTTATTTCAGAAGAACAGAATAGCATACTCTAAGTTGTCCTTGTGTTAGGTCCTGATCTGGCTATGCAAAATGGCTGCAGGCTACACTAGTTTATTTAGCAGACAAGATTTGCTTATAATTCTGTGGCATTATTTTATAGTATGAAGAATACAATTGAACAAAGCTGAATAAATAGAAAGGATATTTTCTCCAAACGATTTGAGGGAGTGCACACATGCAGCTATTCTGTGTGGAGCAGTTAACAAAGAAATAGTTACTCCTATATGCTTAATGTAGAGTTATTTTTGTAACTTTAGTTGTTCTACAAACATTGGGCTATATGTTTCGATTTTTAATACGTTGTAAGGCTGCATGATGCGTCTCTAATGATGATTTGAAAAAAGTTGATTGAAAGGCATGAGCTCTGCTTTGTTTTTTTGCGCATGCTGTACACACTTCATCAGTCTCTCATTCAGACAAGCACTTGATAATGCCTCAAATTTCCCGGCGGAGTCCCGTTTGTGGCCGTAATGCACCTTAAAGAAATCCATGCCTTTTGCGGCCAGTGACCATTGTTCCCTTCTCCCTGAGTGTTGCGTTGTGCCCTTCTCCCTGAGTGCTGGGCTCCGAAGCACCTCTCACTCACATGGCTCTCCATCACGTGATCAGGTCTTTCTCACAGGCTACAAGTGAAGACAGACACTTCGGGGACGCAACTGCGCACGTCCTTATCCAATTCCGAGGTGCATATTGAAGATATTGGAAGAACTGTCCATATTTACTTTTCATCAGCCAACAAGATGAGTAAGCCAAACAAACAGCAAAAGCACTAGACTATGTCAGTCTACTATCCCCCATAGTACAAAAGTTGACCTATTCTGTCTGGGACAGTTGTGGGATGCGATAGATCCCAAATTAACACAACCACTAGCATAAAAAAATATGTTTACGCAATGTGGCTGACGCAACAGATCAGAACGTTTAGCTTTTTAGGCTATTTCTTCACATTATAAGCGCAGCAATACGCACACGGCAGTAGGCTATAAGCGTGAATGTTCCATTAGTGGGTAAACACCATTATCAAAAGTGACCGCAAATGGGATTATGCATGTAATGCTTTTATTATAAAGGTGCATTTTATGTTGAAAATGATCTTCCCCAAACTTGAAACTCACGCGCTGCTTATGTATGCCAGTTAGGCTCTACACCCCTTGTAAAGCGGATTAATGTGCTTATTAATGTGCTGTTATTTGGCCACTTTAGTTGTAATACAAACCTGATCAGTCCCTACACCCAAACGAGGGCATTGCGTTCATCCACCTCTGGCCTGCTGGCTCCCCTTCCTCTGCGGAAGCATAGTTCCCGCTCAGCCCAGTCAAAACTGTTCGCTGCTCTGGCACCCCAATGGTGGAACAAGCTCCCTCACGACGCCAGGACAGCAGAGTCACTCACCACCTTCCGGAGACATTTGAAACCCCACCTCTTTAAGGAATACCTGGGATAGGATAAAGTAATCCTTCTACCCCCCCCCCCCCCCCCCCCCCCCCCAAAAAAATTGTAAAGTGGTTATCCCACTGGCTATAGGGTGAACGCACCAATTGGTGAGTCGCTCTGGATAAGAGCGTCTGCTAAATGACGTAAACGTGCCCTTGAGCAAGGCACTTAACCCTAATTGCTCCTGTAAGTCGCTCTGGATAAGAGCGTCTGCTAAATGACTAAAATGTAAATGTAAATGTAAAACAAATATGCCTATGAGCTAGGCTACATGAGGTGTGTGACTATGATTCGAAAAAGTCACAAAAAAAGGCTTTGTTTCTTGCCTTACGCTGGGCATCATTCACAAGTGATAATATATCACTCACAAGTGCTAGGCTAATATTGTCACCCATCAGACTATTCTTGATTTAATCTTGTCTTTACATATACTAAATAATATATGTGTGAAATTTGTTTTGATTTAGAATGGACCATTATCATGCACCTGTCTCGAAACAGGGGCAGGGGGAAAATACATGTCATCTATGCACTTACATAGCGAATGGAGGACGCTTTTCCAGTGGTTCATTTTCATGCCAGCTAGGTAGGCTATACTCCTGTTATAAAGAGAAGCAATGTGCTTAATATTAGGAAAGTTGAGAAATAAATATAGTAGGCCTAGCCTATAGAAAGCTGATGGGATACTCCTCTTTTTAATAGAGGCCATCACTCTGTTTTCTCACGCAATTGCATAGCCTATAGAAATGTTGCGCAACATGAGCTCATGGGCTCTCATTAAGTGTTTGATTAGATTTTCGATTACATTTGCATTGATGTCAGATTGATTAGAGGGACAATAGACTGCTGAGTACCAGGCAGTTAGCAAGTTTGGTAGGCTACTAATGACCATCAGCAGCATCAGAGCTTGGAAAAGCCTAATTACGTGACCAAATGGGCACGTGGAATTTGACTGCCTTCATGACTCGTGACCGCCGGTGTGGCACCGACTACCATACCCCGTTCAAAGTCACTTAAATATTTTGTCTTGCCCATTCACCCTCTGAATGGCACACATACACAATCCATGTCTCAGTTGTCTCAAGGCTTAAAACTCAGTCTTTAACCTGTCTCCTCCCCTTCATCTAAACTGAAGTGGATTTAACAAGTGACATTAATAAGGAATCATAGCTTTCACCTGGATTCACCTGGTCAGTATGTCATGGAAAGAGCAGGTGTTCCTAATGTTTTGTACACTCAGAGTATGTGTTATATGGTATATTTTATTGTATACTACTGTTATATTAGCTACATACAACACTGCGTACTGTCCCTCACAGTGATCAAATCAGCATGGTATTAGAAAACTCAGACATGCTTTGATTGTCATGTCTGTACAGGACAACTCAATCACGTTTGTGGACTGTGAGAATCTGGCTAACCTCAGAGTTCTTCGACTGGGCCGGAACCGTCTGACATCCATCCATGGTCTGGCTGGTGCTGTGGATCTGGACGTTCTGGAGCTCTCGCACAACTCCATCACCCGCATGGGTAAGCTGAGCTCAGGTCCCCATCGAATCGGTAAGCTGAGCTCAGGTCCCCACTGCATTGGTAAGCTGAGTTCAGGTCCCCACTGCATTGGTAAGCTGAGTTCAGGTCCCCATCGCATCGGTAAGCTGAGCTCAGGTCCCCATCGCATCGGTAAGCTGAGTTCAGGTCCCCTCGCATCGGTAAGCTGAGCTCAGGTCCCCACCGCATCGGTAAACTGAGCTCATTGATGGCCTATACAGAGTGTGGAAAACTCTGTTTGAATTTAGATTCTTTATTCAGCACCACATACATGGTTTTCCAGGTCTAAATTAGACAATGATTCAAAGGCAAGGATGGAAATCTGTGGACTGTGCAGCCTTCCAGATGACTCACACCCCTGCCTGCCTGCTCTAAAGTTACAGTAACTTCATGGCTAGTTGGAACCACTGCCATCCACTAGGGAGCAGTGTACCTCTTCTTTTGAGCTCCTGCTCGGTATACATTGAAATGTGACTTAGTTACTGTGAATAACAGACCAGGAGCCAGGCCTCAAGTCATGAATAGATATTAGCTGCCTGAGAAAACCGTGAATGCTTTTTTTATTGGCAGTTTAGCCTTGAACGTTACTAAAACGGTAACCTTGGCCACACACTGAAATTAGATCTTCTTTGGTTCATATGAATCCTACTTCAGCTCCTCACAGTTCCACAATCTGGTTTTGTCCTCCTAATGACTATTTTGGTATGCAAATGAGGCATGACATTATCTACTACTTTACATACTGAAAGTACTACTGTAAGGAAAATTCTTCTTCTTCAAAGGTGGTCTGGAGCCATTGAAGAGGTTGCAGAAGTTATTGTTGGACCACAACCAGCTGATCAGTACTAGAGGACTGAGAGAGGTGTACACGCTGCTACAGCTGGACTTGTCTCACAACCATCTGTCCAGTGTAGAGGGTCTGGACAACTGTGCTCTGCTCAACACACTGGACCTGACGGGAAACAATCTCACTGAGGTAAAATACATAGTTGGTATATCAATGATAGTTTAGACCATGTAGGCCTAAATACCAGGTAAGTACTAGATTAAACTACTGCCATTACTCCTGCATTTTAAAAATTGTATTATTTATTTATTTATTTAACCTTTATTTAACCAGGTAAGCCAGTTGAGAACAAGTTCTCATTTACAACTGCGACCTGACCAAGATAAAGCAAAGCAGTGTGATAAAAACATGATGGATTATATGGGAAAATTGAAAATGGCCTCGTTGGATAGTTTGACACCCAGCAGCAGTTCGTCCTCCCTAACCCACTCACACTCACAGCCTCACACTCACAGCAGCTATCTGTTGATGGCTGGCATCAATGAGTTGAAACGCACAGCAGGACTAAAACAGTTGACACTGACCAATTGGAGCCACTTAAGTGGTAAAGCACCAGTAGTGCCTGTCAGCAGCACCAGTAGTGCCTGTCAGCAGCACCAGTAGTGCCTGTCAGCAGCAGCGGTAGTGCCTGTCAGCAGCACCGGTAGTGCCTGTCAGCAGCACCGGTAGTGCCTGTCAGCAGCACCGGTAGTGCCTGTCAGCAGCACCGGTAGTGCCTGTCACCGGTAGTGCCTGTCAGCAGCACCGGTAGTACCTGTCAGCAGCACCAGTAGTGCCTGTCAGCAACACCAGTAGTACCTGTCAGCAGCACCAGTAGTACCTGTCAGCAGCACCAGTAGTGCCTGTCACCGGTAGTGCCTGTCAGCAGCACCGGTAGTGCCTGTCACCGGTAGTGCCTGTCAGCAGCACCAGTAGTGCCTGTCAGCAGCACCGGTAGTACCTGTCAGCAGCACCGGTAGTACCTGTCAGCAGCACCGGTTGTGCCTGTCAGCAGCACCAGTAGGACCTGTCAGCAGCACCAGTAGGACCTGTCAGCAGCACCAGTAGTACCTGTCAGCAGCACCGGTAGTACCTGTCAGCAGCACCGGTAGTACCTGTCAGCAGCACCGGTAGTGCCTGTCAGCAACACCAGTAGTACCTGTCAGCAGCACCAGTAGTACCTATCAGCAGCACCAGTAGTACCTGTCAGCAGCACCGGTAGTACCTGTCAGCAGCACCGGTAGTGCCTGTCAGCAACACCAGTAGTACCTGTCAGCAGCACCGGTAGTACCTGTCAGCAGCACCGGTAGTACCTGTCAGCAGCACCGGTAGTGCCTGTCAGCAGCACCGGTAGTGCCTGTCAGCAGCACCGGTAGTGCCTGTCAGCAGCACCGGTAGCTAGGTTTAGGTAAACTCACTATCACTCTCTCTTTCTCCATCTGTCTTTTTCTGTCTCACTTTCTTTCCTTGTCTTTCTCTGTGTCTGTCTGTGTCTCTCTCCTTATCTCTCTCGCTGTCGCACTCTCTCTCTCTCTCTCTCTCTCTCCCTTCCTTTCTCTCTCCCCTAGCTACCCAGTCTGAGGAACCAGGTCCTCCTGGTGGAGCTCCGTCTGGAGGACAACAGCATCTCCTCACTGGAGGGCCTGACAGCCTGCTGGCTCCCCCTGATGCAGCTCCTCTCTGGGGCCCAAAACAGGTAACATCACATGGCATTCCGTCTGATGCCATTGTTATGTTTTATGTTGTGTTGTGTAACTACAGTATATGTATGCTGCTCTCTTGGCCTTTGGCACACTTTAAAAAATAGATGTCAATCTCAATGTGACTTCTCTGGTTAAATAAAGGATTTAAGAAATCCAATGAACTGGGGCGGCAGGTAGCTTAGTGATTAAGAGCGTTGTGCCAGTAACCGAAAGGTCGCTGGTTCTAATTCCCGAGCCGACTAGGTGAAAAATCTGTCGATGTGCCCTTGAGCAAGGCACTTAACCCTAATTGCTCCTGTAAGTCGCTCTGGATAAGAGCGTCTGCTAAATGACTAAAATGTAAAAATGTAACTAGGCCAGTTTGAATTGTACTAGCTACATGTAAGTAATTCAGTGTTTGTGTTTTTAAGAAAACCAATGTAATGTTGCTGAGTGATCGGTAAGTACAATGTAAAGGGGTTGCCATGAAATTAACAGTATCTTACAGGCAGCTCGTGGCAAGTAAAATTCTGTATTTCATATTACAGTACACCTACTGTAATATAAATACGGTATCAAAGCAAGTACTGTGTAATGTCACACAGTACAATACTGTAAAATTGACTGTATTATATTGTAAAAAAGTAAATGCAACCGTAATCGAAATGAATGAATGGATGAATGATTGAAATTCATTGAGGGGAGGGGTTTGTATTTTACAGTATTTCACTGTAATTGGGCTATGGATTGTGCTAGATAAAGTGTTTACACATTACAGCATATTAATGAATATTTTGTGTTTTATATCACTTGCACATCTAGAGGCCTTAACAAAGGCTTCCAAACTTGCAGCGACTACAGGGCAAAACAGACCAAAAGGACATGGCAAAATGCTCAACCATTTAAGTCTTGCGTTTAAGTCTTGCGTTTTAAGTCTTGCTGCCACTCCAATCTGTCCCCTATACATTTTAAATGTCATGGGGAACTATAACCACATAGGAGTTCAATTGGTACAGAATTCTCACTCACGGGTGCAACAAATATAACCTCTTACAAGGCACGCCTCAAAACATGTTAATGAGCCAGAAACAACAATACCATGCACTCACTAATGGTCAAAGGGTTTTTGGCGCTCCAAAGATACGGTTTGGTACTGTTTTCTGTGGGGTGGAATTACAGTACCATTCGAAATACAGCAATTTTCCCACAATGCACCAGAAGATACAGTATGCTGCAGTAACACATTTGAGTTTTTTTTTTTTTTACTGTTGATAATACCTAAAATTACTGTATAAATTACAGTTTTCCATTACAGTGTATTTCATGTATTTTCTTAATTTGTGTTTTACAGTATAACCCAACTGCCATCACTGTGTGATTTTGTGTCACTGGAGAAGCTGGATGTCAGACACAACTGCCTCTCAGGTAAGAGTTTATTATTTTAATTTGATTTAACTTTTGATGTCCAAAATATTTCAGTTGTCATCGCATTTACATACTGTAGTTATATGCTATTCCATTTATATTATTCTGCTATGTGCCTTTCTATGTGAGTGGATGGGAGCATTTTAAGTGTGAATCTATGGTAATACCTATGTCTACGTTATGAATAATGTCACACATCTGGGGAATGCGATGCGCCTCCATCCAGTAAATGTCAGGGGATCCAGCAGGAGATAAAGATACAGTCTCCATAACAAGATCAGATACCTGCGATAGTGATATATAAACAGGGAAAACCTGAAGCTCAGGCCTTTGCTGCTCTGCCTCTGTGTGATGTATTTGTATTTATTATGGAGCCCTGGCAGCAGCTACTCTTCTTGGGGTCAAGCAAAATTAAGGCAGTTATACATTTAAAAAAAACATTACAATACATTCATAATAGATTTCACAGCACACTAAGTGTGTGCCATCAGGCCCCTACTCCACTACCACATATCTACAACACAATATCCATGTGCACGTGTGTGTATAGAGCGTATGTTATCATGTGTGTGTGTATGTGTCTGTGCCTATGATGTAAAACTATAAGCTCAGGCCTCTGCTGCTCTGCCTGTCTGTTGTAGAGCTGCAGAACCTGTGTGAGAGTCTGCAGGGATGTCCACTCCTCCGAGAGGTCCATCTCACTGGGAATCCCCTTCAGCAAGAGACCAGCTGGAGGTAGCGCAAGCCCAATGACAAACACACAATATGTGAATATGTGAATATGTATGGGCGACAAGCCCTGGGCCCTGTGGTTGCATGCACCCGTGGTAGAGAGCAATGTTGTCATACACACATCACCTTATACGGTAACACTACTTGGACACTGCATCATAACAGGTACATACCAGTGGAGGCTGCTGAGGGGAGGACGGCTCATAATAATGGCCGGAACGGAGCAAATGGAATGGCATCAAACACCTGGAGACCAAGTGTTTGATGTATTTGATACCATTCCACTGATTCCGCTCCAATCATTACCACGAGCCACGAGCCCATTCTCCCCAATTAAGGTGCCACCAACCTCCTGTGGTACATACAGTAAATTCCCAGTCATCAACATTGCAAAGATTAGTTTAAAAATTGAATGAAAATTGTTTTTAAAATGGTAGCATAGAGAGACAGACAGACATAATTAACTTCTCTAGCTTTGTTCTGGAATATCACTGCTGGGGTGGATGTGAGAAGTTAGGTTACATACCAACGGGAATGCCAAGCCACTGCCATTTCATATCATCCCTCCTGTCGCAGAATGTGGGCCCAGTGCGGAGGAGGATGTTGGCTGTGGTGACTAAGGTAGAATAAACATTCCACCAGAGCTTCCTGGCCACATCCCGGGATTAGCCTAGTAATCTGGGAATGCTATTGGATTACCCAACGTGCCAGTGACATCCGCACCGCGCAGCCGCACAACTTCTGTAGCACTAAGGGGCAGTAGTTCCCAAAATATTTATTCAACTGAAAAATCTATTAAGTTTTCAATGTCAATTTGCTCTTTCACTTACAGCGCCAAAACATTTTCCTCATGTACATTTAAGTGGGTCCAAATGAGTTGATATGAAAAATGTGCGTTCGCTAGAGCGCTTAACTTCAAGTAGCGGTAGTCTAGCTAGATTTCAGCATTTCAGCATTACACGTTGTCATTAGTGGTCTTAACAGTTTATGACTGACAATCCATGTATAACTTTTATGAAGTGTGAAATTGCAAATAGTTTTAACATTTTAAGGTCCGTCTAGTCATAGCATTAGCCTAGATGATGCCTGGATCTCTCAAGAACTGTTACGACAGGATTTAATAATACCAGTAGCCTACTACCGTTTCCTCGCCCATGTCATGTAGGAAACGTGTCACTGAGCAAACACTTAGAAGAACCATGATTAACACACATATTTTTCACTGCCTTTACCTCTACTGTATATCTGAATCTTACTAGTGTTTTTCTTCTAATCAACCAGTAGTAGTACTGTACACCACATTATGCATTCTGTCTACATACATTTTTGCAGTCAGCACCCACCCAGACATATGGTTTTCTTTTACCTGGGGTGCCCCACTGTTAGCCTCAATGGAGAATAAATATTCCCAATAAACTTTACCTAACCTCCAATGCCAACAGTGGAATTAGCCCCCTGTATTTCCCCACTCTCCCCCTGGCCCTTTCATCCCAATCCAGCGATAACACCGGCTAAACTAAAGCACCAAATGGAGATTGCTAAGAAATACACTTCCAGCAGCCCTGAGCCAGGGGAAGAAGAAAGCACTCCGCCTGATTAATCAGACCTCTTTAAGAGCCTGTGTTTTCAAGGAAGTCTTCACTAAATGAAATATATGGAGCCAGGTTGGGTTAGGTTGGAACCGGAGAGAGAGAGAGAGAGAGAGAGATGGATGGAATGGAGGGACGGACGCAGCTGGAGAGCTAGGGCCAGGAAGGAACACTGGACTGTCCCCTAGTTAGAGAGAGAAGGAGCTGCATGTCTACGGCTCTGGGCTCCGCTTAATAAATACATTTATTCAAATGAGCCAAGCAGGTCAAATTGCTCAGCATTCTTTGAAACTAATTTCCTGAGTTCTTTCATTTGAACCTTGTACATTTAACACAAATAACCAGTGGCATGTAATTACAAAGCATGTTTTTTCCCGCCCAAAAACATTATTTTTACATTTACATTTTAGTCATTTAGCAGACGCTCTTATCCAGAGCGACATACAGTTAGTGAGTGCATACATTTTCACATTTTGATATTATGTGTGCCCACCTCACGTCAATGAGCTCATGTGAGGATCAAGGCTTTATTATGGTTTATGCTTCGTTATAAGAGGGTCCGGTCGGCCAGACGACAAGCCTGGAGGGCTGGAAACTAATCCTTGTTTGTGTGTGTGTGTGTGTGTGTGTGAGAGCGAGAGAGATAGAGGGGTGAGGTGGGGCTCATCAAAACCCCATTACTCTGACAGTGTACTGCATAACCTGTGACCTAGAGTCATGTTTGTGGCACAGTACAGGGAGTTCAGCGGGTTCTTGCCCCACCATCATTATTTAGGATATTATAAGCCAGATGTTGATAATCTAAACTAAAGGCTCCCATCTTTTTGGCACATTTTTTATTGGATTTAGGCTCATATTGACAGCAACAGCACCTGTGGTAAAATGACCAGAAGCAAATGCTAACCAAACATTTATTGTGAACATAAATTGCTGTAGGTTAGTAGTAGTTATTTAAAGTTCTTTTTTTACATTTAAAATTTTTATGAAGACTAATAATTACAGATTAGTTACAGAGAAAGATTTGTCATGTCACAGCAAACAAATATATTCATACTGTATAAATGTACTCTATTTGTAAATTGTCACGGCTCTGTAATACTGTACGCGTTTCCTAATGCGTTTCTTTCTACATTTTCACATTGGCATCAATCGACCACATTTGGCCATGCAGTTTGCTTTGGAGACCATTTTCTCTGCTGGCAGATTTTTGGGATTCCTCAGCTTGCACATCCTTAGCCTCAGGCCGCTGTTACCTCTCTCTCCCATAGACACACAGCTCAGCAGCCATCCCCCTCACAGCACAGCCAGGCCACCATCAGCTGCTTCAGCTTAAGGCTTGCGTCCCAAATGGCACCCTATTCCTTATGTAGTGCACTACTTTTGACCAGTGCACTACGTAGGGAATAGGGTGCCATTTGGGATACAGCTTAACTCACTCTTTTAGTGGTTGAGAAAAAAGGAAAATGACAACAGAAACAAGGAGAGCCAGAGCCTGAAGCCCAGTCTTTAGACTCACAGTCTTTCATCTGCAGCTCAACATGTCATCACATTCTTCCGCTTTGAGAAAATCAAGACTCTAACCAAACTTCTTGTTTCGCATGGAGGAAAATGGTTTTGATTCTGCTGTGCCTGAAACGTCAAACTCGTTTTAGGATTTTATCCCTGTTCGCTCTCTCAAGGAGGTGCATCTACTCTGCCTAAGGACTCCTTTGCCAAGCTATTGCATACAACAAGCTTCCACTGGCACGTCATAGTACACTTTAGACATCCGAGTTGGGGTCAATTCAATTGGAACTTTTTCAGTTCAGAAAATGGGTTGACCCTTTAAATGTTTTATAATCTGTTTGAATTAAAATCTAATCCAGGATAATTCACAATTCCTATTTGAACAATGTTGAATATGTAATTGTGTTATGTGATCATGTATCATTTAGGGTTTTAGAATATGGAGAGCACTTTACATGACGGGGCCTCAAATGTATGTATTTATTACATGGTAGTTACATACAGTTACTGTGTCGAGATTTTAAAATAAATGTTCTTTCATTTACTGAATGCAATTGTTACCTTGAAAAGTTGTAGACTTTTCTGAGTATAGGACATTACTTTTTGAAATGCTACCAAGTAGCATAAACCCTAGTAGGGTATGTATGGTATTCTATAGCATCCAACCATGATCTTTATTGATTAACCCACCATGTTATCTTCCACAGGTCCAGTCTGCAGAGGGCTGTGCCGGGCCTACAGGCCATAGACGGGCAGCCTGTCGGCTCCTCTCCAGCGCTGCCTCCTGGTCCTGGTCTAGTCAGGGCCCTGCTGCCTCAGGACAGCTTTCTAGCCTTCTGTCAGGCACAGCTACAGCAGTTCCACACACTGCAGCACAGCTACACCGCAGAACTCAGGTTACTACAGACACTCGTCAGCTTTTCTGCTGGACACCTCAGCTTACACATAATGCTGTAGGATAGCAACATCATACAGACAAACTCAAACCTGCATATTAGTATTATTAGCATATCTGATACACAGTGTGCCCAAAGCTGAAAGGCAACGTTTAGCTGTTTTTGTAAGTAGTGTGAGGACACTAGTCTTTACGGACGAACACCCCTAGACAGACCAGACCACCAACATATAGACCAGTGGTCAACCCTCAGCTTATCTTCCTGACTTCACCATAATTATGTTTCACAAAAGATGAAACGCAGTGGTGTCTAGTGGTATGGGTCAGACCAAGGAGTCCCATGGCTCGGGGGGGGGACCACAGTCCTCTCCTCTCCACCCCTGTCCGTGCTCCATGCACCCCCTCTGGGCGGTGGACAATGGGCCTTTCTGGGGGCAGGGCAGGGACCACCGCAGCCAGTTAACCCCTGGCTCAAGTCTCGACCCAGGGCCAGACAAGGTCTAGAGAGGTGAAGAGTCTGACTGTGGCTCGGGCCTGTCTAGTAAAGCTGGTAAAATGATGTAGACATCCTGGGGTTTACCCTGCTGTGTAAAGTTTTACAACACTGTTGAGAGAAATTAAAGTCCTTACTTTCTCTATAAGTTTCTATGTGTATTGACAGATTTGACTAAACACAAAAATAGGCCTATCTCTGCAATGTTACGTTGCCGCCCTCATTTCACATAGTGTAAATGGGGTCGAAGTACCTTTCTGAATGAATCCCAGTTAGTTTTTCCAGTAAAATGTTCCATTCCAGTTCCATCATGTGCTTGAACTGCTGTAGCTAGTAGCCCCAGGGCAGCAGGTATTTGCCTTGGCACACTGTTCCTCTCATGTAACTGCCCTCCACAGGTCCTATTTCAGTCTGCCAAGACAATATGACCTTAATTGTTTAATAACATAAATTATTATTTTACTTTAAGATACAAAATGGAGTATATTTTCTCCCTTACTGACTACGCACTGCTTTCCTTTACTGATATACACCTTCCCCTCGACCCTGTGGTGGGATGGCAGGTACAAGGAGGAGAAATCGAGGTCACTGTCTATATGGTCCCCCTCTTTACCCGTCTTCTAGTTGAATAGCAGGGGCATTGTGAAGGCAAGGCTTGTTCCCAGCCCAGCCCTGTGCTACCTAGGCTTTAGGGCTAGTGGGCAGACCGTGTAGGGTGGTGCACTATAATAATAAATAATATAATAATATGCCATTTAGCAGACGCTTTTATCCAAAGCGACTTACAGTCATGCGTGCATACATTTTTGTGTATGGGTGGTCCCGGGGATCGAACCCACTACCTTGGCGTTGCAAGCGCCGTGCTCTACCAGCTGAGCTACAGAGGACCACAGCTCTGAGTAGCCCTCAGGGTCATAGATACATAGGGGGAGGCGGATCCAAGCGTTGCTAATAGACTCATTAAGTTTCCATTGAGGTGGCTTTGTACCAACTTAATCCCCTCTATGAAAGAGACATTATATGGGATTACAGAACTGACCCCCACACACCCTCTGTGGAGGCAAGCCTGTTGCAGCCCAAAAGTAAGCCATTTCTTCCATGCAGATACTAGGTGATCAAATATAAAAAAGGTGTTGTTGTTCTTGTAGGTATTCATCAGACGTATGTATCTATGTTATCCATTGCTTATCTAGTAGGCCTCATATATGAGAGAGGACGGAATGTATGTTACACAACCAAGAACGACATACAAAACAACAAAATCTACTGAAGTGATCTTCATTTGAACGTGTGTATGTGTTTGTGTGTGCGCAGCGTAGCTCTACCTGCCCTGGATGCTCTGAGGCGCTCCCTCCAGCTCCATGATGAAGCTGTACAGCTGGCTGAGGAGCACAGATACGCTCACGAATATGGAGACACCAGCATCACCGACAAACAAGGTGACAGTCACAGGAGTGACACCGCCAGGGTTAGCAGGATCCCTGCCGAAAAGTCTGACGTAGAGGATATGGACAGACATGGTGGTGTCGCGAGTGTCACGATCGGGGAGCAACCTGAAAAGAAGTCCTGTGGAAACACAAACACCTGGCCACATGTGGTTCCTCTCATCAGCCCAGCCAATGACAACAGTGAGAAGCAGCCTCAGCTCCCAGCATACAGATCCAACAGCAGTCCAGGGACTGTTTCCACTAGGCCTGAGTTGAAGCCAGCAGCGCCAGCTAGCTACACCAGTTCCAGCTCTACCTTCTCTGAGGAAAAAATTACCCGTGCCACTGCCAAGCCCAGCAGTTCACCCATCCCCAAAGTTCACAACAAGCTGGACCTCAAAAAGTAGTGTTCCCTCACTCATTAATTCTTTCATAGTTTCTCAACTTTTATTAGTTTCTGCCAATGAGCATTTGTCCTCATTAGAGTCTCCTCCAGTTGAGTGATGTTGAACATCATATTCACTCTGTCACACAGTCATCATTAAGAGGGCTATCTCATCTCAGCTAGTAGAGTATGTATCTTTGATATAAGCTTGTTCTAGACAGGCTGGATTCCTCCTCTGGAGTCTCTGCAAGCCAGATGTTTGGACAGAAATAAATGTATGGGCTGCGTCCGAAATGGCACCCTATTCCCTATGTAGCGACCTTCTTTTGACCAGGGCCTCTGGTCAAAAGTAGTGTACCATATAGGGAATAGGGTGCCATTTGGGATGCAACCATGGTCGGAGAGATTGAGGGTATGACATCATATATATCTCTTTTTGTGTCATTTTTCGGAGCAGCATGGCAGCTGTGTTGATCCAACGCCACTGGAGAGGACACAGAGGACGTCAGAGGATCCAGCTGTGTCCACCTCCAGGAGAGGGGCAAGAAGGAAGAAGAGGAAGAGAGAGGGGAAGAGGAGACACAGGACCCAGCCATACTGGGTCAGAGCAGAGCCGTCTGGAACCAGGTTATGCTGCAACTGCCATCCAGGTAAGCCAGGGTCACAGGAAACTGGGCTGCGAGTGACTTCCTGGAACTCTTTATCATAACTATTAGACTGGCCGTACAACAGGTTTTTCAACAGTGTCTATGGAAATACATGACTGTCTACTCAGAAATCATTGTCTTGCTTCGATCAATCCCACAAATAGATATCTTGAGTTGATCCGTTTTTATAGAAATGCAATTTCTCATTTGTCATAGTCCAGTAACATGTTTCTGAGAATATATATTTTTTATTAATAATAAAGACATCATATGTCCAGACCTTTTACGATATTGAGGCTTAATTAGGTTATCCTATGATTCAATAGATCAAACATTCTACTTGACACTTCTCCTGAAACTTCCCCTCCTCTCTCTCTCCCCTCTTCTCCTCCTCTCCCATCCCTCTCTCCCCTCTCTCTCTCTGTACTTGATGGGCCCTTGAGGAGTATTTGGCGGTGGGGGGATAAAATGATTAATCAAATTCCAGAGTTTTGCAGTAGTGGGAGTGCTGAGGATTCCAGATTCCAACACCGCTCACTTTGTGAAGTCATCCCTTTGGGAATTCTGAGGATTTAGAACCCTCGCTGGCGTTCCATTTGTCTCCTAGCGCTCAAGTCACGCAGAGTTCAAACAGCAGATCACTCAGCAATTAAACAGAGGTTAACATGTTTTATCTTCCTAATGGGATAACACACAATATTTAGCTTTGTCCGTGATTCATGGCTCTTCCTCTGGTACCTTCGTTCTTCCAGGCTGTTTGGAGAGGCTTTGCTCTGAGGAGGAGGCTGGCTGCTGCTCTGGCCCAGGCTCGGTGCTTCCACCCCAGGGATCACGAGGCCTTCGAGGAGGTGAACGTGGATGAATTTGTCTTTGATGAGGTAGGCAGTAAGTAGAAACTTCACAGACTGACTCTCTCTGGGTTGACTGGTCTGGACCTCAACTCCCTATCAACTTGACCTCGCCCCCCAGGAAAATGGAGACGGGCACGTTTCCCCTTTCCCCTAGTCCTCTCACTCATCCAATAGGCTATTCCCTGGGGATTAGGATTATTAAAGAACACTGTCCACTATACTGAGGCCAGGGGAAAGTGAAGGATTCTACATGATAAATGGCATTTTAGCTATTCTTTCGTCATCCACAGGTTCACTTGCCCCCTGTCCTCTCCAAATGCCATCCACTTGAGAATGTGTCTATGTACAGTGTGTGTGTGTGTGTGTGTGTGTGTTCGTTTGCGTGCGTGCGTGTGCTCATCTCAAACATTTAAACAAAACAAAACCTCTTATCACATGATGATCTGCTCTTTACATTTTACATTTTAGTCATTTAGCAGACGCTCTTATCCAGAGCGACTTACAGTTAGTGAGTGCATACATTTTCATACTGGCCCCCGTGGGAAACGAACCCACAACCCTGGCGTTGCAAGCGCCATGCTTTACCAACTGAGCTACAGGGGACTAACACACTTTACTTTGAAGAAGTCACTTCTCCTCACCACCAAACCCTTGGAGGGAATAGAAAAACATTGATGCCCTGTACTGTAGTCTGTCGTTTCACACTGAAGGTGATTCTCATCTCACCTCCTTTGGCTTGTAAACAGACGGCCCTGGAGAGAGACTGGATGATGACCTCTCTGCTGTCTGACGACTCACCTCCAAAAACCCTCCATCATTCTCCTCCATTCCCAGACCAGCTGCTTGGTCCAAAGGTAACACACAGCGCTGAACCCCCCCACCCCCCCCACCCTTTTAGGAGGCCTGAAATACCCTATGCATCAGCAGATGTCATTTTTCACATGAGCCAGGGCCCTTTTTCTTTCCTTAGTTATCTCTCCCTTGCTCTTTGCTTTGGATGAGCGTTGCAGGCAGGACTCTATATCACGGTAGCTAACTGCTCTGCCTGGCGCTCACTGATGGGTGGCAGCTGCTGCCACTGCCAGGCAGACCTTCATGTTTTAACACAAGCTAACGTGATCTCCAAAGAGGTGGATAAACAATTTACCACTTCGACATAGAGGAGGGAGAGGTTTTTAAAATGTCACTAAGCTACTTAAGCTGTAACTTTGACTTTAGGGTCTTCAGGGAATGGAAATGCTGAATGTCAATGTTCACTGTAATTCCTTTCCTTATTTGGATCATTTAGAAAAGAGCATTGCAAACTTCTGGAAGGTTGTGTTTTAGGTGGTCTTGCACCCACAGTGCCAGGGTCAACAATAGTCTGTTCTTCCATGATTAGCTGACTATTACTCCTATTGCCATTACAAAACATTAAGAACACCTGAACACTTTTCTTGTTTGATATAATGCTACAGTACATGATAACAATCTTCTGTCTTCTGACTGTGTATTTCAGCGTCCTCTGAATCTTCCAGATGCCAACCAGCAGACCAGTCCACCTGTGCTTCTGTGGAAGCCCAAGCAGGCCTGGATGGGTGGGGAGAGAGCAGAGCCTGCTGAGCAGAGAGTTTCCCCTGACAGCATCAGCAGGTAGGAAACTGATGGAGCTGTCATGGCTGACACATTTTCATCTAGGTAGTTCTCACAAAGCAAACATGGATGCCACAAGTGGTGGCTTGCTTCCTTACTAATCACCAATCAAAGTACCTTCATAAACTATTGTTTCCAAATAGGATCACCATTGATGATTGATAGTGTGTTTTTCCCCCCAATTTATTTCAGAACGAAATCTCCTGACTCTGCGTCAGTGCTCAGTGGTCTTTCTGAGAGATCTCCTGCCTCTGCGTCAGTGCTCAGTGGTCTTTCGGAGAGATCAGAGAAGATTCTGGAGGAGTGGTAAGTAGAGTTACGAAGAGTGGGAATATTTTGGGTACATTTCTGCCAAATTCAGAACAAAATCTCCAACTTTGTCCTGTATGCTGTACCCTAATGGGACAAAATATGTTTGTCACTGTCAGTGTGTGAGTGTTGTAGTGAGGATGTTTTAGATTCAGCGTGTGACATGTGTGTCATTGTCTCCCTAGGGGGTTCAGAGACAGCCACACTGCTCTGATGATGCTGAAGAGAGCTCAGAAGATGAAGTCCAAGAAGCAGAGGCAGAGAAAACTATTGGGTCTGCAGAAATCAGTTGAAGTTGATTTACATTTGGAGACTATTTACTATTTACAGATATTCAACTGGCTTGAGCAACTATTACTGAACCAAAACCCCCAGAACCCTACCTTGTCTAGGCTCTCCTTCCTCCTCTATTTCCATTCATCTCCTCTTTTTCTTTTTGAAACTATATTGCCACGCTAGCAGCATTGAGCCGTTCCTTCTTGTGTATGTTAATCAGCCGTAACAGACAGCAGAGGTAACAGAGGTCTGGCCCTGTCATCTCCTATTGGCCCCAGTCAGAGAGCCCTTACAGGAAACAGCCATTAACCAAACCAACCGGGTGGCTTTCCCTTCCCTTAGTTCCAACCAACCAGACGCTCTCTCCGAGCCGTCGTCCCAGAGACGGTTTTCATTAGTCTGCATGGGTTACCGCGACTACAGTCCAAAACACCGGTCGGTAGTCGTGCCACGTTCGTGTAGACTAGACAGACAGTGACGCTGGTCGTTGATCAGGATTGTTAGAGCATGACTGTACAGTACCAGAGCGCTAGATCCAGTAATCTCTGTCTGCCACACAGGCCTGTGTCAACTGTCATCTGCCCAAGTAGTGAATGCATAGTGTTAGGCTCTCTGCGTGTCATGAAGGGTCTCTCTGCTGTGAGTTTCTCCAGGACCCAAAGGTTCTTGTCTGGATGCTGTGGGTTTAATGTTAGTCTCTCTCTCTCTCTCTAGACACAACTGGACGCCTGGCCCTTTTCAGGAACCATAGCAACCAGCATGCCCCTATGGAAGCACCAAAGAAGCCCTCTCCAGAGAGGAGCGACTACATTAAAGGTAGGACTCAGACAACACTAGACACTACAGTAATGTAGCCTTATCACATTACTGAGCTGAGGCAAACCAAGCCCAGCCAACTGTACTGTGTATTGCCATGCATTTAGGCTACCTCATTAACCTTACATTTTTACATTTACGTCATTTAGTAGACGCTCTTATCCAGAGCAACTTACAGTTAGTGAGTGCAAACATTTTCATACTGGCCCCCCCGTGGGAATCGAACCCACAACCCTGGCGTTGCAAGTGCCATGCTCTACCAACTGAGCCAATGAGATGGTAACAATTTGACGTTTTATTCGGATCAACATTTACGTGATGCAGCATACTTCAATCCCCCACAAATGTATACTGCAGCTCATAGAGCCATGCTTATGTATGCACGTGTTTTAGTGCTTTCAATATGAGCTGTTTACTATCTAGAGGAAGTAAGTACCACTGCTGCCTGCATTAAATAGAAACGCTTAGAGATTATGGACCGGCGACGAAATTAAAGGCACATGAATGGTCGTAAATAGTGGGACATGAAGTAGTTTGGGATGACGGATGATAAACAAGATGATTGTGTTTCAGCAGGTCTTTGTAGATGACTTGAAGTGTGAAATTGAGTTAAGTACTGGGGAGGTAGGGCTCTGAGGGGTTCCAGACTGAACAAACTGAAGGCCTCTTGTCTTAGACATAAATAGTATTGTGGGGGGTAGTAGTAGTGTCTTGGTTTGGGTGAGTTGGTTTGTTGGGGTTGCGAGGATACGTGGGTGAGTTGGTTTGTTGGGGTAGCGAGGATAGGTGGGTGAGTTGGTTTGTTGGGGTTGCGAGGATAGGTGGGTGAGTTGGTTTGTTGGGGTTGCGAGGATAGGTGGGTGAGTTGGTTTGTTGGGGTTGCGAGGATACGTGGGTGAGTTGGTTTGTTGGGGTGCGATGATAGGGGGTGAGTTGGTTTGTTGGGTTAACTTCAAGCGAGGATTTATGTGGGTGAGTGGTTGTGGGGTTGCGAGGTAGGTGGGTGAGTTGGTTTGTTGGGGTAGCGAGGATACGTGGTGGTGGTTTGTTGGGGTTGCGGAGGAAGGTGGAGGAGTTTTTTTTGTTGGGGTTGCGATGATAGGTGGTGAGTTGGTTTGTTGGGGTTGCGAGGCTAGGTGGGTGAGTTGGTTTGTTGGGGTTGCGAGGATAGGTGGGTGAGTTGGTTTGTTGGGGTAGCGAGGATAGGTGGGTGAGTTGGTTTGTTGGGGTTGCGAGGATAGGTGGGTGAGTTGGTTTGTTGGGGTTGCGAGGCTAGGTGGGTGAGTTGGGTTGTGGGGTAGCGAGGATCGTGGGGGAGTGTTGTTGGGTAGGCGAGGATAGGTGGGTGAGTTGGTTTGTTGGGGTAGCGAGGCTAGGTGGTTGGGGTGGGGTTAGTGGGTTGGTGGTAAGTGGGTTGAGAAGAAAAGGTGCTGGTAAAAAGTATGGAGAAAAGTGGTTAGTGGGGGGGGGAATGGACTAGACTCTGTATGTACTTCTCTCTCCCTCCATGCACCATCTGCCCACACAGACCAGACCAATACACTTTAACAATACAGATAGGTCCAAAAAGAGAGAGGGGAAATATTTTCTCCTCCTTTCATGAAAACACTTTGCGGCGGCTCCCCGGCCCTGCTCCCCTCTCTCCGGGTATGTAAGCCGATACCCATTTCAAGTGGGTTACTCATGTCCAGCACATCCACACAAAGAGCCCGGATAAAATAAACACGCCGCGTTAGATATCTCGGAAAGAATCTGTCATGGGTTTGGGGCTAATCACCTCCAGAAGGGGCTTGACTCAAAGCCTGAAACGTTAGCCCCTGCCGGGGAGCTCCGGCTGGGCTGGCTGGCTGAGCCCGGGGCGCTAGCTGGGGATGGGATGGATCTGAGGGGGTGCCTTCCACAGGTCAGCACCAGGGGAGGCAGAGGAGAGGGGAGGCAACCCAGCCCAGTCTGCCGATGGAGAGAGACCCAGAAACCCCACAGACCTAGAGCCAGACCCCGGCCAGCACGCCTCTACGCCAGCCGCCCAACAGCCCAGGCCCCTGTAAAAAGGCAGCGGGAGCTGCTCCAGTCAAGAACCCCAGTGGGTTTGGGTTACGCTTTTTACAGGGTTCCCCTCATTCAGATCAGAAACCCAATGAGGAGGGGGACGGGGAGGAGGTCGGAAGAAGGAGTCAACTCCCGAGTCCAAGGCTGTGTTTGAAATGGCCCCCTATTTCCTATATAGTGCACTACTTTTGACTTTTAACCAGGGCCCCAGAAAATTTTGTAGCAGTGGGGGGGAAAAGGTCATGGGGGGGTGGCTTCCCTCTCACCCTTGTTTTGGGTGTCCGAGGTCCCTTCCGGATAATTGTTATGTAGATGGACTGAGAATCTCAGTTCTGGTGACCTTTTTTTAAAGGATTCTACTAAAAAATGTATGAAAATAAAATTATGCTGACACCATTTAAAATATAATTTCTACCTCCATAAATGAGCCCAATAACATATTGGTAAAATGATTTGCTACATTTAGCCCCACTCTCCCCTATGCAATCACAGTGAATTGCGGAGCTGTAACATGCTTAACCATGCCCCTACAAAACAATCTGGGTTTAAGCTAGAGATACAGTGAGAGAAAAAAGTATTTGATCCCCTGCTGATTTTGTACGTTTGCCCACTGACAAAGAAATGATCAGTCTATAATTTTAATGGTAGGTTTATTTGAACAGTGAGAGACAGAATAACAACAAAAAAATCCAGAAAAACGCATGTCAAAAATGTTATAAATTGATTTGCATTTTAATGAGGGAAATAAGTATTTGACCCCCTCTGAATCAGAAAGAGTTCTGGCTCCCAGGTGTCTTTTATACAGGTAACGAGCTGAGATTAGGAGCCCACTCTTAAAGGGAGTGCTCCTAATCTCAGCTTGTTACCTGTATAAAAGACACCTGTCCACAGAAGCAATCAATCAATCAGATTCCAAACTCTCCACCATGGCCAAGACCAAAGAGCTCTCCAAGGATGTCAGGGACAAGATTGTAGACCTACACAAGGCTGGAATGGGCTACAAGACCATCGCCAAGCAGCTTGGTGAGAAGGTGACAACAGTTGGTGCGATTATTTGCAAATGGAAGTAACACAAAATAACTGTCAATCTCCCTCGGCCTGGGGCTCCATGCAAGATCTCACCTCGTGGAGTTGCAATGATCATGAGAACGGTGAGGAATCAGCCCAGAACTACACAGGAGGATCTTGTCAATGATCTCAAGGCAGCTGGGACCATAGTCACCAAGAAAACAATTGGTAACGCACTACGCGGTGAAGGACTGAAATCCTGCAGCGCCCGCAAGGTCCCCCTGCTCAAGAAAGCACATATACAGGCCCGTCTGAAGTTTGCCAATGAACATCTGAATGATTTAGAGGAGAACTGGGTGAAAGTGTTGTGGTCAGATGAGACCAAAATGGAGCTCTTTGGCATCAACTCAACTCGCCGTGTTTGGAGGAGGAGGAATACTGCCTATGACCCCAAGAACACCATCCCCACTGTCAAACATGGAGGTGGAAACATTATGCTTTGGGGGTGTTTTTCTGCTAAGGGGACATGACAACTTCACCGCATCAAAGGGACGATAGACGGGGCCATGTACCGTCAAATCTTGGGTGAGAACCTCCTTCCCTCAGCCAGGGCATTGAAAATGGGTCGTGGATGGGTATTCCAGCATGACAATGACCCAAAACACACGGCTAAGGCAACAAAGGAGTGGCTCAAGAAGAAGCACATTAAGGTCCTGGAGTGACCTAGCCAGTCTCCAGACCTTAATCCCATAGAAAATCTGTGGAGGGAGCTGAAAGTTCGAGTTGCCAAATGTCAGCCTCGAAACCTTAATGACTTGGAGAAGATCTGCAAAGAGGAGTGGGACAAAATCCCTCCTGAGATGTGTGCAAACCTGGTGGCCAACTACAAGAAACATCTGACCTCTGTGATTGCTAACAAGGGTTTTGCCACCAAGTACTAAGTCATGTTTTGCAGAGGGGTCAAATACTTATTTCCCTCATTAAAATGCAAATCAATTTATAACATTTTTTACATGCGTTTTTCTGGATTTTTTTGTTGTTATTCTGTCTCTCACTGTTCAAATAAACCTACCATTAAAATTATAGACTAATCATTTCTTTGTCAGTGGGCAAACGTACAAAATCAGCAGGGGAACAAATACTTTTTTCCCTCACTGTATCTGTTTTTTTGCATGGCCTGTGTCTCAATCCAACGCATCCGCCTATGGTGGCCTCCCGCATCTGCTGTGGAAAGTGGCTGAGCTACAGCGGTGTTTGTCAGACCGTGAGACATCCCAAAAATTGGTATTTTTACGAAAACGTCTGAACCCCCACAAGCCCCACAAGACTCGTCTGAAGTTGGTATCGTCGATGTGCCAACTTCTGTTTGTAGCTTCCGAAACTAATGTGAGCCCACTGTGGAAAGGGGAGATTCTCACGAACACGATGGTGTTCTCCGTTTTGCCCCACAAGTGTCACGGGACTCGTCTGAAGGCAACCTGTACTGGCTTAAAAAATGAATGGCAGTATGGTGGTAGTTTTGTGCCTACCCAAAACATTAATAATGATAACGACAGGCCATCATTACTTTAAGACATGAAGGTAAGTCACTATGGAAAATGTCAAGAACTTTAAACGTTTCTTCAAGTGCAGTCGCAAAAACCATCAAGCGCTATGATGAAACTGGCTCTCATGAGGACCGCCACAGGAATGGAAGACCCAGAGTTACCTCTGCTGCAAAGGATAAGTTCATTAGAGTTACCAGCCTCAGAAATTGCAGCCCAAATAAATGCACCACAGAGTTCAAGTCACAGACACATCACAACATCAACTGTTCAGCGGGGACTGTGTGAATCAGGCCTTCCTTCATGGTCGAATTGCTGCAAAGAAACCACTACTAAAGGACACCAATAAGAAGAAGAGACCTGCTTGGGCCAAGAAACATGAGCAATGGACATTAGACTGGTGGAAATGTGTCCTTTGGTCTGGAGTCCAAATTTGAGATTTTTTTTCCAACCGCCGTGTCTTTTTGAGATGCGGTGTGGGTGAACGGATGATCTCTGCACATGTATTTCCTACCGTAATGCATGGAGGAGGAGGTGTTATGTTGTGGGGGTGCTTTGCTGGTGACACTGGCTGTGATTTATTTAGAATTCAAGGCACACTTAACCAGCATGGCTACCACAGCATTATGCAGCGATACGCCATTCCATTTGGTTTGGGCTTAGTGGGACTATCATTTGTTTTTCAACAGGACAATGACCCAACACACCTCCAGGCTGTGTAAGGGCTATTTTACCAAGAAGGAGAGTGATGGAGTGCTGCATCAGATGACCTGGCCTCCACAATCCCCCGACCTCAACCCAATTGAGATGGTTTGGGATGAGTCGGACGGCAGAGTGAAGGAAAAGCAGCCAACAAGTGCTCAGCATATGTGGGAACTCCTTCAAGACTGTTGGAAAAGCATTCCAGGTGAAGCTGGTTGAGAGAATGCCAAGAGTGTGCAAAGCTGTCATCAAGGCAAAGGGTGGCTATTTGAAGAATCTCAAATATAAAATATAATTTGATTTGTTTAACACTTTTCTTTGGTTACTACATGATTCCATATGTGTTATTTCATAGTTTTGATGTCTTCACTATTATTCTACAATGTAGAAAATAGTCAAAATAAAGAAAAACCCTTGAATGATTAGGTGTATCCAAACGTTTGACTGGTACTGTGTATATATATATATTACCTGAGCTTTCTTATATCTTCTAGATATAGGACAGATATTATCCTTTTTTGGCCATTTATGAATGTGTTATTCAATGCATTTCTGTGGGCTATAGTAGTTAAGGCCAAATTCAATATGTTATAAAAATATATATATACCTAGGGTCCTAGAATTCAAAATCAAATAGCTAAATGATCCATGGTATGACCATCTTAAAACAATTTCATATGTCAGCTTAGACTCTTAAGAATTAAAATGGTGCAGTTCGCACATATTTAGGAGTTGAGAAGTAAATAAAGTAGGAATGGAAAGTAGGAATGGAACGCTGGGATCCTCCTCTTTTTAACAAAGGCCATTAAAACTGTTGTTTTTCCAGCGAATGCAAGAATTGTTGTGCATTGACTGCTTGTCAGAATGCATGTCCCTATGGCACTCCTAACATGAATGCGCCTTCAAATAAATAATTTTCTCACATAGGCTAAAACACACAACAACAAGCCAACTAGGTAAATAGATCAACTATTCTACTATGGGGTAGTCAGATTTTTCTATTCATTACTAGTTTTGTTTGCAGAGGAAACGTAAATGTGGACTGTTCTCGCAATTTCAAAGTGCACCTCGGCAGAAATGTATTTTCCTGTTCCATATTTTTTTGCTGTAGTGGCAATGATTTTGCCGTGGCGCAGTGCCACATATAAATGACTGCAGCGGAAACACTGGTGTAGTGAATAGCGTGCCATTTCGGACGCACCCCAAGTCACTGACCTACATTTTTTTGTCATTTAGCAGACGCTCTTATCCAGAGCGACTTAGTTAGTGAGTGCATACATATATTTTATATTTTTTTCATACTGATGTGTTGTGCTCTGCTTCTGCAAGGCAGAGCCTGTTTGATGAATGATCAGGACCTGGGAGGAGGAAAGTTACTGGGAACAATAGTGGAAAAATGGTTGTAATGCAATAGGTAGTTAGGGTTTGGATGGACTGGGGGTGTGCGTTATAGCTGCATGTTAGCTCGGTCTTATCCAAAGTTCTGACACGCTTGACGGGGAATTTAGCATCAGGGTGAAGGAATCCTGAAATAATTCACCTGCACTTCAAAATATACAGAAATGATGCGGTAACGATGTCATATTTAACATTACTTCAGCCTAACCGTTTAGTAACTTGTTTATTGGGTGTGTACCTGACTGTTACCTCAGTGATTGAAGTTACCACATCAAGCTCTCATAATGAACAATTAGATGGAAGAAGTAACCTATTAGCTTGAACTTTTATATCTCTTTGTTTTCATTGTAGATTTGATACGGTTTGATATGGATAAATAACACAGACTTAAGTGATAAGCATTGGTGTTTTAGTTTCACCAATCACAATAATATAATTCTGAATATGTAAACAACACAATTGAACGAACGAACCAAGCGAACGGCTCCTACATGCTTGACATACCCAGAATCCCTCTGAACTGCTATGAACTAACAACATGGACGATGGAAACAGTGCTGTTGTTACATGGACGGAAATAACATCCTACATTTTCACTTTATGGGAATTGGCAATGCAAATTTGGGTTGAAATGTTAAATCCAAAATAGTATTATATTGGGAAAACATGAAAAAATGTCACGGCTAAAATACAACATTTGCAAAGTTATACTTTGTATGGAAATAGTGCAAGCATGTAGCTAATGTTGAGTCAGTGCGCCATTGGAATTCATTGTTGCTTGATTTATAGCATGAATGAAGCATGAACTGAATCTCTCCATATCAAACGGTCTTATTTCACACCATAGCGTTCCAGTGTATTATGTCAGAGAGAGTTTGATCTGCGTGAATTGGAGCAGGCCAGGAGCCAGCCCAGCCGTCTCACGTTCCTTCATAAAGTTATTATCATAGTGCCTGTGGTGTGTGTGTGTGTGTGTGTGTGTGTGTGTGTGTGTGTGTGTGTGTGTGTGTGTGTGTGGCCCGCGCCGCCTGCCTGTTGACCGCTGGGTGACCATGTGTGGTTTGCTCTCTTGAGGTGAAGGCTTCACCCCTGGGCGAAGGAAAGTAGGAGACAGGCCCTATGATAAAAGCTGACCTCCTCTCCTCCTTTAAGTCTGGCGCTGGATCTCACAACGGCATATCCCCATAGGGTCATCTCCACCACAGGGCAGGGCAGGAGGCAGCACTGGAGAGAGAGAGAGAGAGGGAGGGAGAGCGAGGGGGAAGGGATAGAAAGAGGGAGGGAGAGAGATAAGCTCATATTGGCTTCTGGTGAAATCTATGAAGATCCCATGAGGCTAGTTTAGCCAACAAGATCTCATGGTTTTACCAATTTCACTAAAGATTCTGACGTTTAGCCATGTTTCTCCAAATGTCAAATTTCGAAGTTGCTACAAACGTCACATTTCTAAGGGTTTTTGACACCCTTGATTCCTCCTCCTGCTCAGTATCGTTCCATTTCTCCAAATGTCAAATCTTGATATAATAATAATAATAATAATAATAATAATATGCCATTTAGCAGACGCTTTTATCCAAAGCGACTTACAGATATGTTTTTAAGTTAAGGGTTAAGGTTTGGTATATGGTTAAAACATTACGTTTACGCATTAATTCTGAATGGTAAAGTTAAGGGTTAAGGTTTGGGATAGGGAGAACCCCCCCCAAAAAATGTCTACCACTAGTATTGAACACGTGACCTTCGGATCCAGAGCCATGGGATTACAACCATCCACCGCCCCTGTCCACAACCCCCTAGCAAAACCCAAGCCAACTTGATGGTAATAGTGCTCACTGTTGCCCCTAGTGGCCGGTTTTGAAGGCATCCCTGAAGTTTTCAGGACATGGATAGACGTCCAACTTCGAAGTCAATCTTGAATGATCTCTCTGAGTTTAGCTGTCTGATTTTAGCTGTCTTTGTCCTCTAAAATGTCTCAAGTATTCCTTTGTTTTTATGTACAGTATCTTTATCCCCGTCGGCAAGCCTCAGAATACCACTGATGCTTTATACTTACAATTGCTCACGATCCTGACTGTACTAAGTTACTGGGAGCTGTAGCTTTGCATGAGTTGTACAGTGGGGAGAACAAGTATTTGATACACTGCCGATTTTGCAGGTTTTCCTACTTACAAAGCATGTAGAGGTCTGTGATTTTAATCATAGGTACACTTCAACTGTGAGAGACGGAATCTAAAACAAAAATCCAGAAAATCACATTGTATGATTTTTAAGTAATTCATTTGCATTTTATTGCATGACATAAGTATTTGATACATCAGAAAAGCAGAACTTAATATTTGGTACAGAAACCTTTGTTTGCAATTACAGAGATCATACGTTTCCTGTAGGTCTTGACCAGGTTTGCACACACTGCAGCAGGGATTTTGGCCCACTCCTCCATACAGACCTTCTCCAGATCCTTCAGGTTTCGGGGCTGTCGCTGGGCAATACGGACTTTCAGCTCCCTCCAAAGATTTTCTATTGGGTTCAGGTCTGGAGACTGGCTAGGCCACTCCAGGACCTTGAGTTGCTTCTTACGGAGCCACTCCTTAGTTGCCCTGGCTGTGTGTTTCGGGTCGTTGTCATGCTGGAAGACCCAGCCACGACCCATCTTCAATGCTCTTACTGAGGGAAGGAGGTTGTTGGCCAAGATCTCGCGATACATGGCCCCATCCATCCTCCCCTCAATGCGGTGAAGTCGTCCTGTCCCCTTTGCAGAAAAGCATCCCCAAAGAATGATGTTTCCACCTCCATGCTTCACGGTTGGGATGGTGTTCTTGGGGTTGTACTCATCCTTCTTCTTCCTCCAAACACGGCGAGTGGAGTTTAGACCAAAAAGCTCTATTTTTGTCTTATTAAACCACATGACCTTCTCCCATTCCTCCTCTGGATCATCCAGATGGTCATTGGCAAACTTCAGACGGGCCTGGACATGCGCTGGCTTGAGCAGGGGGACCTTGCGTGCGCTGCAGGATTTTAATCCATGACGGCGTAGTGTGTTAGACCGAGGGTGATTGACCGTCATCTTGAACTTCTTCCATTTTCTAATAATTGCGCCAACAGTTGTTGCCTTCTCACCAAGCTGCTTGCCTATTGTCCAGTAGCCCATCCCAGCCTTGTGCAGGTCTACAATTTTATCCCTGATGTCCTTACACAGCTCTCTGGTCTTGGCCATTGTGGAGAGGTTGGAGTCTGTTTGATTGAGTGTGTGGACAGCTGTCTTTTATACAGGTAACGAGTTCGAACTGGTGCAGTTAATACAGGTAATGAGTGGAGAACAGGAGGGCTTCTTAAAGAAAAACTAACAGGTCTGTGAGAGCCGGAATTTTTACTCGTTGGTAGGTGATCAAATACTTATGTCATGCAATAAAATGCAAATTAATTACTTAGAAATCATACAATGTGATTTTCTGGATTTTTGTTTTAGATTCCGTCTCTCACAGTTGAAGTGTACCTATGATATAAATTACACACCTCTACATGCTTTGTAAGTAGGAAAACCTGCAAAATCGGCAGTGTATCAAATACTTGTTCTCCCCACTGTATGTAAGTAACTATCCAAATAATATACTTGAATGAATCCCTTCACAACATTTAGTTATTTGCGCCATTACTTGTGCATCGAGCTAACTTGTTATTCCCTACATACACTGTGCATGACCTTGATGTTTCTTTGTTTTGGGGGGGGGGGGTGTAACTTGTTCTGAATTACTCTAAAGTGCCTACGACCTGCCTCTCCTTTACGACTTGGTAGCTGCAGGACGTGACCCTGACCACACCCACCTCCCCATCCAGACTGTCCAAGGCCCCCCCCTTGCAACCCCTTGAATGAGCAGATTCTCTCTCTGATATCGTAAGCCAGGGCTCTCTCCTGCCTCCCTTCTGTCCCCCTCGCCTCGATAGAGAGAGATTGGATAATGTGCTTAAAAGACCCACTTAACAGGCGTGACTCCTCCTGATGTCCTGGAGCAGGGGAACAGGACAGGGTGTGAGGGTGGGGTGAGGGGGAAGCTGAAAGGAGGGCTATGTCTGGAGCAGGACAGGGGGCTGCATGTGGGTGGGGTGAGGAAGAGAGGCGAGGGGATGGTGGAAGGAGGACTAGTATGTTTTGACACGGGGCTGGGGGTGAGGGGAAAGTGGAAGGAGGCCTAGAATGTCTTGACACAGGGGTGGGGGTGAGGGGAAGGTGGATGGAGTACTAGTATGTCTTGACACAGGGGTGAGGGGAAGGTGGAAAGAGAGCTACAGGGCCGGGGTGAGGCAGGGGGTGAGGGAAGGTGGAAAGAGAGCTACAGGGCCGGGGTGAGGCTGGGGCTGAGAGAAGGTGGAAGGAGGGCTAACTATCTGTCTGGACTGTAATTTAACACTAACCTCCCTACTCCCCTATGAGCCATTGTGCATCCTGATCCTAACAACATCATCCCATAGACTTTCCTTGAGTTTTAAGGCGTAACAATTATATATACAGTTGAAGTCGGAAGTTTACATACACTTAGGTTGGAGTCATTAAAACTCGTTTTTCAACCACTCCACACATTTCTTGTTAACAAACTAGAGTTTTGGCAAGTCGGTTAGGACATCTACTTTGTGCCTGACACAAGTAATTTTTCCAACAATTGTTTACAGACAGATTATTTCACTTATAATTCACTGTATCACAATTCCAGTGGGTCGGAAGTTTACATACACTAAGTTGACGGTGACTTTAAACAGCTTGGAAAATTCCAGAAAATGATGTCATGGCTTTAGAAGCTTCTGATAGGCTAATTGACATCATTTGAGTCAATTGGAGGTGTACCTGTGGATGTATTTCAAGGCCTACCTTCAAACTCAGTGCCTCTTTGCTTGACATCATGGGAAAATCAAAAGAAATCAGCCAAGACCTCAGAAAGAAAATTGTAGACCTCCACAAGTCTGGATCATCCTTGGGAGCAATTTCCAAACGCCTGAAGGTACCTTGTTCATATGTACAAACAATAGTACGCAAATATAAACACCATGGGACCACGCAGCCGTCATACCGCTCAGGAAGGAGACGCGTTCTGTCTCCTAGAGATTAATGTACTTTGGTGCGAAAAGTGCAAATCAATCCCAGAACAACAGCAAAGGACCTTGTGAAGATGCTGGAGGAAACAGGTACAAAAGTATCTACAGTGAGGGGAAAAAGGTATTTGATCCCCTGCTGATTTTGTACGTTTGCCCACTGACAAAGACATGATCAGTCTATACTTTTAATGGTAGGTTTATTTGAACAGTGAGAGACAGAATAACAACAACAAAATCCAGAAAAACGCATGTCAAAAATGTTATAAATTGATTTGCATTTTAATGAGGGAAATAAGTATTTGACCCCTCTGCAAAACATGACTTAGTACTTGGTGGCAAAACCCTTGTTGGCAATCACAGAGGTCATACATTTCTTGTAGTTGGCCACCAGGTTTGCACACATCTCAGGAGGGATTTTGTCCCACTCCTCTTTGCAGATCTTCTCCAAGTCATTAAGGTATCGAGGCTGATGTTTGGCAACTCGAACCTTCAGCTCCCTCCACATATTTTCTATGGGATTAAGGTCTGGAGACTGGCTAGGCCACTCCAGGACCTTAATGTGCTTCTTCTTGTGCCACTCCTTTGTTGCCTTGGCCGTGTGTTTTGGGTCATTATCATGCTGGAATAACCATCCACGACCAATTTTCAATGCCCTGGCTGAGGGAAGGAGGTTCTCACCCAAGATTTGACAGTACATGGCCCCGTCCATTGTCCCTTTTGATGCGGTGAAGTTGTCCTGTCCCCTTAGCAGAAAAACACCCCCAAAGCATAATGTTTCCACCTCCATGTTTGATGGTGGGGGTGGTGTTCTTGGGGTCAGAGGCAGCATTCCTCCTCCAAACACGGGGAGTTGAGTTGATGCCAAAGAGCTCGATTTTGGTCTCATCTCACCACAACACTTTCACCCAGTTCTCCTCTGAATCATTCAGATGTTCATTGGCAAACTTCAGACGGGCCTGTATATGTGCTTTCTTGAGCAGGGCGCTGCAGGATTTCAGTCCTTCACGGCGTAGTGTGTTACCAATTGTTTTCTTGGTGACTATGGTCCCAGCTGCCTTGAGATCATTGACAAGATCCTCCTGTGTAGTTCTGGGCTGATTCCTCACCGTTCTCATGATCATTGCAACTCCACGAGGTGAGATCTTGCATGGAGCCCCAGGCCGAGGGAGATTGACAGTTATTTTGTGTTACTTCCATTTGCGAATAATCGCACCAACTGTTGTCACCTTCTCACCAAGCTGCTTGGCGATGGTCTTGTAGCCCATTCCAGCCTTGTGTAGGTCTACAATCTTGTCCCTGACATCCTTGGAGAGATCTTTGGTCTTGGCCATGGTGGAGAGTTTGGAATCTGATTGAATGATTGCTTCTGTGGACAGGTGTCTTTTATACAGGTAACAAGCTGAGATTAGGAGCACCCCCTTTAAGAGTGTGCGCCTAATCTCAGCTCGTTACCTGTATAAAAGACACCTGGGAGCCAGAAATCTTTCTGATTGAGAGGGGGTCGAATACTTATTTCCCTCATTAAAATGCAAATCAATTTATAACATTTTTGACATGCGTTTTTCTGGATTTTTTTTTTGTTATTCTGTCTGTCACTGTTCAAATAAACCTACCATAAAAATTATTTTGTCAGTGGGCAAACGTACAAAATCAACAGGGGATCAAATACTTTTTCCCTCACTGTATATCCACAGTAAAACGAGTCCTATATCGACATAACCTGAAAGGCCGCTCAGCAAGGAAGAAGCCACTGTTCAAAACCGCCATAAAAAAGCCAGACTACGGTTTGCAACTGCACATGGGGACAAAATCGTACTTTTTGGAGAAATGTCCTCTGGTCTGATGAAACAAAAATTGAACTGTTTGGCCATAATGACCATGGTTATGTTTGGAGGAAAAAGGGGGTTGCTTGCAAGCCGAAGAACACCACCCCAAACGTGAAGCACGGAGGTGGCAGCATCATGCTGTAGGGGTTATTTGCTGCAGGAGGGACTGGTGCACTTCACAAAATAGATGGCATCATGAGGAAGGAAGATTATGTGGATTTATTGAAGCAACATCTCAAGACATCAGTCAGGAAGTTAAAGCTTTGTCGCAAATGTGTCTTCCAAATGGACAATGACCCCAAGCATACTTTCAAAGTTGTGGCAAAATGGCTTAAGGACAATAAAGTCAATCCTATAGAAAATGTGTGGGCAGAACTGAAAAGGCGTGTGCGAGCAAGGAGGCCTACAAACCTTACTCAGTTACACCAGCTCTGTCAGGAGGAATGGGCCAAAATTCACCCAACTTATTGTGGGAAGCTTGTGGAAGGCTACCCAAAACGATTGACCCAAGTTAAACAATTTAAAGGCAATGCTACCAAATACTAATTAAGTGTATGTAAACTTCTGACCCACTGGGGATGTGATGAAATAAATAAAAGGTTAAATAAATCATTCTCTCTACTGTTATTCTGACATTTCACATTCTTAAAATAAAGTGGTGATCCTAACTGACTTAAGACAAGGGAATTTTTACTAGGATTAAATGTCAGGAATTGTGAAAATCTGAGCTTAAATGTATTTGCCTAAGGTGTACAGTGAGGGGAAAAAGTATTTGATCCCCTGCTGATTTTGTACGTTTGCCCACTGACAAAGAAATGATCAGTCTATAATTTTAATGGTAGGTTTATTTGAACAGTGAGAGACAGAATAACAACCAAAAAAATCCAGAAAAATGCATGTCAAAAATGTTATAAATTGATTTGCATTTTAATGAGTATTTGACCCCCTCTCAATCAGAAAGATTTCTGGCTCCCAGGTGTATTTTATACAGGTAACGAGCTGAGATTAGGAGCACACTCTTAAAGGGAGTGCTCCTAATCTCCGTTTGTTACCTGTATAAAAGACACCTGTCCACAGAAGCAATCAATCAATCAGATTCCAAACTCTCCACCATAGCCAAGACCAAAGAGCTCTCCAAGGATGTCAGGGACAAGATTGTAGACCTACACAAGGCTGGAATGGGCTACAAGACCATCGCCAAGCAGCTTGTTGAGAAGGTGACAACAGTTGGTGCGATTATTCGCAAATGGAAGAAACACAAAATAACTGTCAATCTCCCTCGGCCTGGGGCTCCATGCAAGATCTCACCTCGTGGAGTTGCAATGATCATGACAACGGTGAGGAATCAGCCCAGAACTACGCGGGAGGATCTTGTCAATGATCTCAATGCAGCTGGGACCATAGTCACCAAGAAAACAATTGGTAACACACTATGCCGTGAAGGACTGAAAATCTGCAGCGCCCGCAAGGTCCCCCTGCTCAAGAAAGCACATATACAGGCCCGTCTTAAGTTTGCCAATGAACATCTGAATGATTCAGAGGAGAACTGGGTGAAAGTGTTGTGGTCAGATGAGACCAAAATCGAACTCTTTGGCATCAACTCAACTCGCCATGTTTGGAGGAGGAGGAATGCTGCCTATGACCCCAAGAACACCATCCCCACTGTCAATGCTTTGGGGGTGTTTTTCTGCTAAGGGAACAGGACAACTTCATCGCATAAAAGGGACAATGGACGGGGCCATGTACCATCAAATCTTGGGTGAGAACCTCCTTCCCTCAGCCAGGGCATTGTAAATGGGTCGTGGATGGGTATTCCAGCATGACAATGACCCAAAACACATGGCCATGGCAACAAAGGAGTGGCTCAAGAAGAAGCACATTAAGGTCCTGGAGTGGCCTAGCCAGTCTCCAGACCTTAATCCCATAGAAAATCTGTGGAGGGAGCTGAAGGTTCGAGTTGCCAAACGTCAGGCTCGAAACCTTAATGACTTGGAGAAGATCTGCAAAGAGGAGTGGGACAAAATCCCTCCTGACGTGTGCAAACCTGGTGGCCAACTACAAGAAACGTCTGACCTCTGTGATTGCCAACAAGGGTTTTGCCACCAAGTACTAAATCATGTTTTGCACAGGTGTCAAATACTTATTTCCCTCATTAAAATGCAAATCAATTTATAACATTTTTTACAAGCGCTTTTCTGGATTGTTTTGTTGTTATTCTGTCTCTCACTGTTCAAATAAACCTACCATTAAAATGATAGACTGATCATGTCTTTGTCAGTGGGCAAACGTACAAAATCAGCAGGTGATCAAATACTTTTTTCCCCTCACTGTATGTAAACTTCCGACTTCAACTGTATTTAAATAGGCAGTATATACAGTGCATTCGGAAAGTATTCAGGCCCTTTCCCCTTTTCCACATTTTGTTACGTTACAGCCTTATTCTAAAATTGATTTCATTAATTATTTTCCTCATCAATCTACACACAGGTGGACTCCAATCAAGTTGTAGAAACATCTCAAGGATGATCAATGGAAACAGGATGCACCTGAGCTCAATTTTGAGTATCGTAGCAAAGGGTATGAATACTTATGTAAATAAGGTATTTCTGTTTTTTATTTTTAATACATTTGCAGAAATGTCTAACAACCTGTTTTCGCTTTGTCATTAGGGAGTATTGTGTGTAGATTGATGAGAATTGTATTTATTTAATCCATTTCAGAATAAGGCTGTAACTTAAAAAATGTGGAAAAGGGGAAGGGGTCTGAATACTTTCCGAATGCACTGTACTATCTGATAAAAAAACTATGTTTTTGGAGAAAAATAAATAAAACGGTTTAATCCTTGTAAATTATATCATAAATAGGACTGGTGGAGTTATGTCACACATGCAGCTAACAAAAATATATGGAAATGTCTGCTCTACTCAAAATTATAACCAGCTAATTGCAGCATTATCGCAAAAATGGAAGAGGCAAGTGGAAGGGGGAGAAAGTAAGGAACTTGTCTGTCGGCCCTGCATTAAAGACCAAAATTGGTTAAAGAAAATTGTGATGAATAAAAAAGTATACCAGTTTCATTTACGGACCAAGAAATTGACAGCTGTGCCATACATATTGCAAAATAGTTGGGAAGAGATTTTCAATGTACCGATGAACTGATACACAAAACGACGCTGGATTCAAAACTTAGAGTTTTTCAATTTAAATTATTATGCAAAATTCTTGCAACCAATATGTATGTTTTACAGTGGGGGAAAAAAGTATTTAGTCAGCCACCAATTGTGCAAGTTCTCCCACTTAAAAAGATGAGAGAGGCCTGTAATTTTCATCATAGGTACACGTCAACTATGACAGACAAATTGAGAAAAAGAAATCCAGAAAATCACATTGTAGGATTTTTAATGAATTTATTTGCAAATTATGGTGGAAAATAAGTATTTGGTCACCTACAAACAAGCAGGATTTCTGGCTCTCACAGACCTGTAACTTCTTCTTTAAGAGGCTCCTCTGTCCTCCACTCGTTACCTGTATTAATGGCACCTGTTTGAACTTGTTATCAGTATAAAAGACACCTGTCCACAACCTCAAACAGTCACACTCCAAACTCCACTATGGCCAAGACCAAAGAGCTGTCAAAGGACACCAGAAACAAAATTGTAGACCTGCACCAGGCTGGGAAGACTGAATCTGCAATAGGTAAGCAGCTTGGTTTGAAGAAATCAACTGTGGGAGCAATTATTAGGAAATGGAAGACATACAAGACCACTGATAATCTCCCTCGATCTGGGGCTCCACGCAAGATCTCACCCCGTGCGGTCAAAATGATCACAAGAACGGTGAGCAAAAATCCCAGAACCACACGGGGGGACCTAGTGAATGACCTGCAGAGAGCTGGGACCAAAGTAACAAAGCCTACCATCAGTAACGCACTACGCTGCCAGGGACTCAAATCCTGCAGTGTCAGACGTGTCCCCCTGCTTAAGCCAGTACATGTCCAGGCCCGTCTGAAGTTTGCTAGAGTGCATTTGGATGATCCAGAAGAGGATTGGGAGAATGTCATATGGTCAGATGAAACCAAAATATAACTTTTTGGTAAAAACTCAACTCGTCGTGTTTGGAGGACAAATAATGCTGAGTTGCATCCAAAGAACACCATACCTACTGTGAAGCATGGGGGTGGAAACATCATGCTTTGGGGCTGTTTTTCTGCAAAGGGACCAGGACGACTGATCCGTGTAAAGGAAAGAATGAATGGGGCCATGTATCGTGAGATTTTGAGTGAAAACCTCCTTCCATCAGCAAGGGCATTGAAGATGAAACGTGGCTGGGTCTTTCAGCATGACAATGATCCCAAACACACCGCCCGGGCAACGAAGGAGTGGCTTCGTAAGAAGCATTTCAAGGTCCTGGAGTGGAATAGCCAGTCTCCAGATCTCAACCCCATAGAAAATCTTTGGAGGGAGTTGAAAGTCCGTGTTGCCCAGCGACAGCCCCAAAACATCACTGCTCTAAAGGAGATCTGCATGGAGGAATGGGCCAAAATACCAGCAACAGTGTGTGAAAACCTTGTGAAGACTTACAGAAAACGTTTGACCTGTGTCATTGCCAACAAAGGGTATATAACAAAGTATTGAGAAACTTTTGTTATTGACCAAATACTTATTTTCCACCATAATTTGCAAATAAATTCATTAAAAATCCTACAATGTGATTTCCAGGATTTTTTTTTCTCATTTTGTCTGTCATAGTTGACGTGTACCTATGATGAAAATTACAGGCCTCTCTCATCTTTTTAAGTGGGAGAACTTGCACAATTGGTGGCTGACTAAATACTTGTTTTCCCCACTGTATATGCAAATATATATATGGGGGATTGGAAATGATGCAGACAATGACATTGATGGAAGCCACAATCTATCTGCAAATAAATAAAAGTCACCTGTTTTGGGGCCCTGCGTGGTTCTGGTACCAGTTCTGACCAACATTTATGCTTATTAATTGATATGGAGACACCATAGATCGAAATGGCTTGTATTGAGCGGTAGCCCTGATTCTCACGGACAGAGGAGTATGTCTCTTCTGCCTGTGTGAAGCATGATGTGAAATCTGACACCACTTGAAGCTGGGATGTCCCTCCTACCATTTAATTTGCTATTCCGACTGTCCATCAACTCCTGGCTGAACCCTACATCATAGCCACATTCAGAGATCGATTAATAGCCAGTAATCAAAAATATTTCATAGATTTTAAACAAAAAACACTTTCTGTTTGTCATAGATGGACAGACAAACAAACTATTCTAACACTAAATATACAAATGCATTCGGAAAGTATTCAGAGCCCTTCCCCTTTTCCACATTTTGTTATGTTACAGCCTTATTCTAAAATTGATTAAATAAATACAAATCCACATCAATCTACACACAATACCCCATAAGGACAAAGCGAACATAGGTTTTTAGAAATGTTTGCAAATGTATTAAAGTAAATATTTACATAAGTATTCAGACCATTTGCTATGAGGCTTAAAATTGAGCTCAGGTGCATCCTGTTTCCATTGATCATCATTGAGATGTTTCTACAACTTGATTGGAGTCCACCTGTGGTAAATTAAATTGATTGGACATGATTTGGAAAGGCACACACCTGTCTATAGAAGGTCCCACAGCATGTCAGAGCAAAAACCAAGCCATGAGGTCGAAGGAATTGTCCGTAGAGCTCCGAGACAGGATTGTGTCGAGGCACAGATCTGGGGAAGGGTACCAAAAAATCTCTTCAGCATTGAAAGTCCCCAAGAACACAGTGGCCTCCATCATTCTTAAATGGAAGAAGTTTGGAACCACCAAGACTCTTCCTAGAGCTGGCCGCACGGCCATACTGAGCAATCGGGGGAGAAGGTCCTTGGTCAGGGAGGTGACCAAGAACCCAATGGTCACGCTGACAAAGCTCCAGAGTTCCTCTGTGGACAACCATCTCTGCAGCACTCCACCAATCAGGCCTTTATGGTAGAGTGGCCAGACGGAAGCCACTTCTCAGTAAAAGAAACATGACAGCCCGCTTGGAGTTTGCCAAAAGGCACCGAAACAAGATTCTCTGGTCTGATGAAACCAAGATTGAACTCTTTGGCCTGAATGCCAAGCGTCACGTCTGGAGGAAACCTGGCACCATCCCTATGGTGAAGCATGTTGGTGGCAGCATCATGCTGTGGGGATGTTTTTCAGCGGCAGGGACTGGGAGACTAGTCAGGATCGAGGGAAATATGAATGGAGCAAAGTACAGAGAGATCCTTGATGAAAACCTGCTCCAGAGTGCTCAGGACCTCAGACGGGGGTGTCGGTTCACCTTCCGACAGGACAACGACCCTAAGCACACAGTCAAGACAACGCAGGAGTGGCTTCGGGACAAGTCTCTGAATGTATTTTAGTGGCCCAGCCAGTGCCCGGACTTGAACCTGATCAAACATGTCTGGAGAGACCTGAAAATAGCTGTGCAGCGACGCTCCCCATCCAACCTGACAGAGCTTGAGGATGTGCAGAGAAGAATGGGTAAACTCCCAAAATGCAGGTGTGTCAAACTTGTAGCGTCATACACAAGAAGTCTCGAGGCTGTAATTGCTGCCATAGGTGCTTCAACAAAGTACTGAGTAAAGGGTCTAAATACTTATGTATCTTTTAGTACTTTTGCAAAAAATTATAAAAACCTGTTTTTGTTTTGTCATTATGGGGTATTATGTGTTTATTGATGAGGGGGAAAAGGCTTTCAGTTAACAAAATTTGGACAAAGTCAAGGGGTCTGAATACTTTCCGAATGCACTGTATTTTACAGTTATAAGGAAGGTGAAATCTTATAGGTAGTCGTTTTATAAATTGGTTATACTGTATTTAGAAAAAATATAAGTCATTTCAAGCCTTAATCATACCGTTTTGTTGAATAGGAAAGACATCATATAAAAATGTTCATGTTTTATCATATTTGTACTGTGTACTTGAGCTTGTGTCCTCAAAGTGACTACACCTCAGCAATATATAACTATTTTTACCAGAAAGGTGAGATTTTAACCTTTCTTGTAGTATGCAGCATTACTAGTTATTGTTTATGGCCATCTCATGATAAATAATTACTTTAAGGGATTATGTAGATTACATTTTCAATTACATTTAGTTACATTTAAGAGGATATATATATATATATATATATAGACCCATGGGGCGGCGCACAATTGGCCCAGCGTCGTCCAGGGTAGGGGAGGGAATGGCCGGCAGGGATGTAGCTCAGTTGGTAGAGCATGGCGTTTGCAACGCCAGGGTTGTGGGTTCGATTCCCATGGGGGGCCAGTATGAAAATAAAATAAAAAATGTATGCACTAACTGTAAGTCGCTCTGGATAAGAGCGTCTGCTAAATGACTAAAATGTAAATGTAAATATATATATATATATATATATATATATATATACAGTAGGACAATGCAGTATTAACAACTATGTAAAACATACATTAGTACAGTATTTTTTATGTTCCACTAAAACATTCTGCTCCAGGAAGTGTGAAACACCATCTCCTGGCCGTACTGCCTCGAGGGAGCATTCATCACTGGACGTTTTTAGTGGGTTCTTAATTAACCCATGAAGACTGCAAGCTATAAAACCTTTTTTCCTTTTTTAGCTGCTCGGCGAGAGCATGAAAATGAGTTAAATAAATGCGTCATTAGTTCCAGCACCGGGCTGTCAAAATTCCTTATCAATTCACGCCCAACTTAGGCCGCATTACTGTCGGCAGTGTGTTGGTGGGCCGTGGACGGGGTGCAAATGTTTACTTTGAATTACGGCCTTTATTATGGGATTTTCAGTGTTGTTCGTAAATCATCGAATGCTTTCTCTATTTGATACATTGCTCAAATTCATTTAATTTTACAAGAACACACAACCACACACACGCTCACACACACGCACAGATACACACACACACACACATAGACACATAGACACACACACACACACACACCATCAAAGGAACCCCAACCGCTCCTGGCTGTTGCGTCATTCAGCAACTCAGAGTGTATTATAGTAATGCCCCCAGAGCCCTCCAAACAAATGGCTACCTTAAGCCCCAACATAAACGCTGTGAGCTTTAGCTAAGCACTGATCTCTCTCTCCTACAGCTCGGGAGGAAAACCTTGCCTAGCACTCTACTTGTCAATCTTTGTCACAGTCCAGGCTCCCTCTGTTTATTTGTCCTTGGCCCTGTCCCAAATGGCACCTTATTCCCTATGTAGTGTATTGCCCGTAGGGCTCTGGTCAAAAGTAGTGCACTATATAGAGAATAGGGTGTTGGTGTGCACCCGTTAACACAACCGCTCTCTCTATCCTGTATAAATGATGTAAAGATGTCACCCCACATGGTGGACGTTGCAGCAGCAGGACTGAGTAAGGAAGCAGCTCTGTGATTTTCTTGTAACTGTTGTCACCAGGGATGTTTTACCGAAAGAGAGGGAGATTAACAAAAATAATCTTGCTTGACATTTATTTGATATTTTCTGTGCAGCTTGCCAGGCCGAACTAGCCCTGGAGGGAACAGGCAGATTGGACCAAACGCGGTTAAACCAGCAAGCACCAGGGAGGGTGGACCAAATGCTGGTGAACCAGGATGCAACAGAGCAAGTGGACCAAACGCTGGTGAACCAGGAACGAACTTACCAGTGGCTCCACACCCAGCCTGTGCACTCTGACAGCAGACGCCCAGAGAGGTGAGGTTCTCTACAGCTGATACACACCAGTACATGATATTGTATATGTCTGCAACTCATGTTCAACATACAGAATAAAAATAATGTTGTACAGTAGGTAAGATGACATTATTGTAGATGATATATACATGCAGGTGATGGGGATGAAAGGGATATTACATGTTTATTACATAAACAAATGTACAAAGTTGGCAGAAAGTATTGGCCCATTATAAAGGCTAATGTTCTAGAATCTAATTGTTTTAGAACATTATGTCCCAAGAACATTTAAAACAATTAAATGACTTCTTTATACAGAAATTATCATTTAGGAAATATATTTAAATATAAAACAAGAATACAGACAGTTTTTATTTTATTTTTAATATCTAGCATTTTGGTGAAAAGAATAACGAGCTGGTAGGATCGGTAACAAATGCAATGGATGCGGGGGGCTATGACATATAAAATAAAATATTGGGATTGTGATAGTAGTTAACTGAGAGCCAGTAATGCCACTGATCTGATGTTTATGCTGTGATAGATCCGAGATCATTTGTGTTGGAGTGAAACCACTAATAGCAGAGTATTGAAACCTTTCTGTCTGTCTGCAGTGATGGTTTCCTCCCAGAGATTGACCCAGACATACTGAAAGGAGGCAGAGTGCAGCTCGTGGTGAGCTATTTATTTTGACTCACTGTTACATTCCTCCTACGACTGATTCACTTTCACTGAGTAATTGACTCTCATTCTGTCTGTATCTTGGTTGCGGAGAAAGTCCATGGAAGTATGTATTGTTTACATTTGAAGTTTATATTCAAGTTTCACTCTATAGTTCGTTTCCCATTCCGCCTAGACTTTAAGGCCTTTCTTTTTCGAAAGGCTTATTTCCAGTGTAACGACACTTTCAATTTGATCAACTCACGGCAATTTCTTCATTTGATTTGTAGAAATACCAGTGTCAGTGCCGTGTGGTTTGTGTAGACCAGAGAATGATATTGATGCTCGTCAGCTCTTTGAAGTTAAAAACCGCAGGTCTCCCTGTGCAGTTTGAATTATTTTCACTGTCAAAAAATAACCACCTCCTTTCCCTTTCCTCAGCTACACACTGCCTTTCCGCTTTGAGCACATGAGCGCTTAGTTGTTGTTGAATGTTTTCAAAATGTTGGGGCCAGTTGCGTGAGAAAAGTCATGTTTGACCTTATTTGAACAGTGTGTGTGTGTGTGTGTGTGTGTGCAGGCTGTAGCAGGGTACAGAGAAGGTACAGACCAGGCCCCAGTGTCGCAGGCCAGCGGAACGTCAACCTCCCCGCCTCGCAAAGAACACAATCAAGCTCGGAGAAACTTTATGGGGCAACTAAGTGAGTTTTACATTTTTACTTCAGACTCACTATTTAGCAGGGTTGGGGTCAATTCCATTTCAATTCTGGAAGTAAACTGAACTTTCAATTCACATTTTCCTTAATGCATATTAATGAGGAAGATTTGGATTTGGAATTTCTGTTTATTTCCTGAATTTAATTAATTTAAATGTTATTGACCCCAACCAAGGTACTATTTAGTCATCTATTACCTGTTGCTGCATATACGCACCACTAAGCATTTAGTTCAACATACACGTTTTGTGTGTGTTTACCACTATTTCATATTTAATTAAATGTGTCAATTTGTTAATATATTCTGAAGATTTGATCATTGGAATATTTGTCCTTTGCAAGAAAATGTAAGATTTTCCTATCCAATGCTTATTCCATTATTTGGTTTTTAGGTTTAAATTAGCAGGAATATTTTTTCGGCCCTCCATTGAAATGTCACTAAAGACAGAAAAAAATCTATATCACTGAAAGTAAGAGGGAATAACCTGAGAGGATTGAATCACTGAGGTCAAAAATTAGCAGAGATATGTGACCGTGCGTGTGTGTGAGAAGCAGTATGATAGCAGGCACATGTGAGCATTGGACCTATCTAGAAAGACAAAAGTGTTGTATAATGAAAACCAATTGCTGATAAGCACTTTTTCAATGATCTAACTGTAATCACTGTAGCTTTAGGATGAGATGAGCCGCCTGGACAGCGCACGTTCCAAACAGACTACTGTAATAAATCAGATAAAACGAGGTGTGTGTGTTATGTCTGTCTGTGTGCGTGTGTTGTAAGTGCATCTGTGTGCGTTGTGTGTGGTGTGTGTGGCAGAGCGGGGATAATCGGTCCGGCTTAGTGTCCCGGGTCGATCGGGAGCTTGGAGCGGGGTCGGGAAGGGGACAGAGCGCTGTTCCTCGACAGGAAACAGGCAGAAAAGTCATTTTCAGAGAAGAATGACTGGCCCTTCTGTCAGACAGCCTTCTGCACAGGAGTTTGAGTGACAAAGATGCTTCTGACAGACACAGGCAGGACACAAACAGATGACCAGATTAAACAAGCTTCAGGAATCTAAAAAAGAAGACAAATACTGTTCCTTCCTAACGAAGCTAAATTAGATTCCGATGATGATTTCTAAATGATATCCACGAGGGCAGTGACTCGCTGCGTGATAAAGGCACGTTGTTGTAGGATTTAGAGCGGGGGTGAGGAGGTAAGAGAAATACTTTCTGTGCGGCTCTGTGATCAAACAACACTTAGTACATTTAAGTATGTATGTGTAAGCGGGGCAAATTTTTCAAAAGCCAATTGGATATTTCCTAAACTGGGAAACTGCATTAAATTAGCCAAAAATCTAAAAGTTATTTCATGGATAAATGGTGCAGCTCTTAGCTGGCAACTCAGCAAAGAAAAGCAGTAGTACCATAGACTGGAAGCTCTCTTTTGAAAATGTGTATAAGCAGGGGGAATCTATGCCAGTTTAAAGCAGCAACAATATCTTATTTATCAGAAAACAAAATTTAAATATTTAATTTGCCTCTGAAGGAGTGTAGAGACTACATCAAAGTCAAGCTTTAAAGTCAGGGGTTCACTTAGCTTGCCATGGCAGTAAAGACTATGTAAAAACTCTATAACCTATTGCAATGTGATACCCACCGCTCGCTGGGGCGGTGCCATGAAGTGCGTTTTCAGCCCCACTAAATATTTTCATTACTTGTGCAGAGGAAACCACTTAAGTTACCTATCTACTGCCTCAATGTTGTTCCCATTCAAAGCTAATAGGAGTAAAACGACTGAAAAGGATTTGTTTGGTCACAGCGGTCGAGGGAATGTGCGGCCATTTATTTATTTACCTACTTTTTAATAGCATGACCGCCGAAAATTGCAACTAAATTACCAACATGTGTGTCAATAAAGACAAGATTTGTTTTGGCCTCTGTTTTTGATTCGGAAAAACCAAACAAATAAATATTTTATTTACCAACATTTCAACACACAAGTTCTGAAAAGTTTCTCCAAATGAGCACAAAATGACCCCTATGGCTGAGGGTTTTAATATTTTTTTGAAGGATCAAACCATTCAGATGGAAATAAGATGTGGCCACAGATACTCAATATTATATTTAGGATGGTTTAATATTAAAAGGGGAGTCTTAAAACATTTACATTTTAGTAATATTGACAGATTTTTTTCACCTAGTCGGCACGGGGATTCAAACCAGCGACCTATCGGTTACTGTCCCAACGCTCTTATCCGCTAGGCTACCTTCGAAAAGGTATTTGACTGACAATAAATGTGTAGAGATCAAATCGTGTGTGAAGGCGTTATATTTTCTCTACAATGAATCATAAAAAATAAACATACAGATGATGATACGCTATGTGGGACACCAGCCGTGCAGGTATTAGGGAGCTGGTCAGTACCTGTAATGTGTGCTGTTCTTCAGCCCCCCACCACCTCCCCGTGATCCTCCCCGCTGCTGAGCTCCCTGTGTGGGGCTTGTCTGGCTCACTGTGGCCCTGTGGCCTGGCCGGTACACGTGGAACACATCATACCCACAGACACGCTCCCTTTGTTCCTCTGTTTGGAGAGCTTAGTTCTGATCCCCAGGTGAAATGGAACAGCCTCCCCTACAGCTGACTGTTAACAGAGCAACACTCAGAAAGAGTGGAGTTTAGTGCATACGCTACATGAGGAGCTGTCCATGCAATGCAGTTGTGTGGTAGCCTGGGCTATACAAAGTAGTTGCTATAATGTATGCTATATATACACTATATATACAAAAGTATTTAGACACCCCTTCAAATTAGTGGATTCGGCTATTTCAGCCACTTACATTTGACCGGGGCAGCTCTAGCAGGGCAGACATTTTACGAACTGACGCTTGGCATTGCACATGGTGATCTTAGGCTTGTGTGCAGCTGCTCGGCCATGGAAAGCCATTTCATGAAGCTCCCGACGAACAGATCTTGTGCTTACGTTGCTTCCAGAGGTAGTTTGGAACTCGGTAGTGAGTTTTGCAACTGAGAACCTGTCAGCAACAGGTGTATAAAATCGAGCACACAGCCATGCAATCTCCCTAGACAAACATTGGCAGTTGAATGGCCTTACTGAAGAGCTCAGTGACTTTCAATGTGGCACCGTCATAGGATGCCACCTTTCAAACAAGTCAGTTCGTAAGTGCTGTTATTGTGAAGTGGAAACGTCTAGGAGCAACAACGGCTCAGCTGCGTAGTGGTAGGCCACACAAGCTCACAGAACGGGACCGCCGATTGCTGAAGGTCGTAGCGCATAAAAATCGTCTGTCCTCAGTTGCAAAACTCACTACCGAGTTCCAAACTACCTCTGGAAGCAACGTCAGCACAAGAACTGTTCATCAGGAGCTTCATGAAATGGCTTTCCATGGCCGAGCAGCCGCACACAAGCCTAAGATCACCATGTGCAATGCCAAGCGTCAGCTGGAGTGGTGTAAAGCTTGCCGTCATTGGACTCTGGAGCAGTGGAAACGCGTTCTCTGGAGTGATGAATCACGCTTCACCATCTGGCAGTCCGACGGATGAATCTGGCTTTGGCGGATGCAAGGAGAATGCTACTTCTCCGAATGCGTAGTGCTAACTGTAAAGTTTGGTGGAGGAGGAATAATGGTCTGTGGCTGTTTTTCAGGGTTCGTGCTAGGCCCCTTAGTTCCAGTGAAGGAAAATGTTAACACTACAGGATGCAATGACATTCTAGACAATTCTGTGCTTCCAACTTTGTGGTAACAGTTTGTGGAAGACCCTTTCCTGTTTCAGCATGACAATGCCCTCGTGCACAAAGCGAGGTTAATACAGAAATGGTTTGTCGAGATTGGTGTGGAAGAACTTCACTGGCCTGCACAGAGCCCTGACTTCAACCCCATCGAACACCTTTGGGATGAATTGGAACGCCAACTGCGAGCCAGGCCTAATTGCCCAACATCAGTGCCCTACCTCACTAATGCTCTTGTGGCTGAATGGAAGCAAGTCCCCGCAGCAATGTTCCAGCATCTAGTGGAAAGCCTTCCCAGAAGAGTGGAGGCTGTTATAGCAGCAAAGGGGGGACCAACTCCATATTAATGGCCATGATTTTGGAATGAGATGTTTTTAAGTGATAATGCCCGAGAAGCCTGTGTTTGGAGAATATAGGAAGTATTGGCACAGGTGTTGTTAGGCCCGAGACAAAGTCTATTATATTGGCCGGCAAACCGTGCCAATATATCCTCCAAACACCAGCTTCGAGGGCATTATCACTTTTATACAACGGGTTACCAACATATTCAAATAATGATTGACATATTTTCATTAAAAACGTTATTTTGATGAATTTATTCATACTATTTCATCCTTCCACAAGATATAGTCCCGACACAAATCTAGGGTTGCTACCCAATCCGGCTGGTCGTTCGTTCTATCGGTTCCATTGCCAGAGACGCGACCCAGTCGTTCAGTCTTTTTGTTCTATCTCTGTTCTAAATGTTCCATACTGGCTGGCAACGTTCTTATCCCTTGCTTTCTAGCTAGCCAACTACGGCTAACTTACAGTCACGTCAAACAGTGCAGCCAGAATAACAATGAGGTAGCTGCATTTGCATTTATTTAAGCTGTTTTCTAGTGACATTTATTTGGATACATCCATAACAATGAGCTAATGATGCGTGACTTCACGTGGCATAGAAAATATGCTCTCTCGTCAGGACACTGTTGTTTGATATCTAGCAAACAACACAGGTAACACAATCACTTCAAACTGAAGCTGGAAAGACTTCGAACTAGCTGGACTTTGTTTCATTTGACCTGTTTTCTATTGATAGTTATTTGTATATATACATCAAAATTATGCTGATTCATGATTTCGACTGGCTGAGAAAAGCTGTCTGCCTGTCTGTCTCATCCCGACACGTTCATTACTATGGGAGAGCTGGAAATCGAATGTAAATATTGAAACAATGTTGTAAATGTCGGAGAGACTGACAGCAAGGTTTATACAAATCTCCGCTGTTGAAAACTAAATGTTAGTCTAAAAGAAATGTGAGATAATGTCTAGATGCTTTTTATAGTGGAGATCAAGTTTATAAATTGCTTGGCTGGGCTGATGAGATGGAACAGAGTAAATAGGCATTTTATCGTCATAGATCTTTAGCCGGTGGTAACTTGTGGAATAGACACCGGCTGGAATGCGGTTTTAACCAATCAGCATTCAGGATTAGACTCACCCGTTGTATAAAACTACAGTAAATTATGTGTTTCGATATGTTTATCTGCAGGCAAAGAGCATTAGGGCATAAATACTTTATATTGGGAAATGTTAATATGTGATATGCTAATATATCTTGCAGTTTTGTTAGATTTTTATTTTGTGTCTTTCTCTTTTTCTGCAGACAAAGAAGCACCTTCTCCCCAAAGAGTGACCTCTGCCTCATCTAAAAAAGAGCGCATGTCTTTCCGGGATAACCCTGTCCAGATGAGTGGTGGCTGGGGAGGGGGCAAAAAAAGGGACAAACTGCACAAGTAACAAGACATTTGTTAATTACCAAGAAACGGGTTTAGCTGCATTCACTGTATGTCCAAAACAGTAAGCATGACAACCATCATTCTGTTCACAGTAACTTTTTGACAGTCACATACAGTATATGCATTATGTTGACATTTCATTCTGATGTGAAACGTTTTACTTTCATCCCCCAAAAAGTTTTGATTGTCATTCATCTCCTACGCTAAAATTCCTTGCAGCTGCCTTTTCCCTCTCAGATCGGGCTCGGCCTCCGTGGGTCTT